GGATACTTGGGTCCTGGAGTTCCTGTAACCTTGGAATGGCTTTTTGGGCCAACGTATGATTGTGGATTTTTACCATAGTGTCCCGTGGTCGAGTTCTGTATAATGTAATAATCCAATTAGGCGGTCCAGAATGCACAGAACATTGGAATTTTGGGTTATACCCAGAACAAAATACAAATAAATTTACAGTATTTTTTTTTCCTACTCAAGTTCATTAGAGTTCTGCGGTAAAAATAATTGGGGGTTGTCATGTCACTAAAATAATTTAAATAGACTCACTTCGAGTTTATATAATCTTAATTAATCAGAGTTTATATAATCTTAATCAATCCTCTAATTAGTTCATGTTTCAATTTGTGTTACATTCTTGCAACCTTTGACCTTCTTCTACTAGTAGAGCTGGTAAAACGGACCAACCCGCGGGTTGCGGGTTGGCCCGTGGCGGGTTATCCGGTGCGGGCTCAAAAGGCCCGTTTTCTGGCGGGTTGGCATTTTGCCAACCCTAACCCGCCAAGGTGGGTTGGCGGGCCAACCCACCAACCCGCCAAAATTTTTATTTTTATTTTTTTTGTTTTTTTTTAAATTTTCTTATTTTTTTAAATGTTAGCAATTATATATAATACAAAATAAAAATACTAAAAATGATATAAAATATTAGAAACATCCAAATAAAAATTACAACACAATAAAATACAAATAGTATATGATTGTCTAATTTTCCAATATGATAATACACAAATTCACACATTTTTTTTCAATGAAACCAATGAGCAATATTGAATAACCTTATTTATCTAATTATTTCTAATGACAATAAAGTTTGAAGTAAAAATTTGCTTTACTTTTGTCTTTGTTATCTATTTTTTTTTAAAAAAAAAAAATAGGTGGGTTAACCCGCGGGTTGGCGGGCCAACCCGTCGCGGGTTAGGGTTATGGCGGTGCGGGCTCATATTTTTCAGGTGGTGGCGGGTTGGCCAAAGGCCAACCCTAACCCGCCTCTTTTGGCGGGTCCGACCCGCGGGTCCAACCCATATTACCGGCTCTATCTACTAGCACCTTTGCATTTGATTTAAGATCCACCAATTCGGCCTCTCCTTTCAAATGTGACAGCCAAAAAAGTTCCTTCTTCCTTTTGAATTACACTAAATGCTACTCCTCCAATCTTTAATATAAGGCCTATTTAACTAATTTAATTAGATTAAGAAAGTTAGGTAAATTAGTTAATTATAAGAAATATGACATGTTTCTTCTAAAACACCATAATCATCTTTCTTAATATCCTTCCTCCTCTTTTTACTTGATTATGCTTGAGGAAGTATCAATAAAGATAATTTAAGAAAAAGTGATAAATATGATAAATAAGTCTTATATTTAGAACCAAACAACTTGACAATTAAGTCTTATATTAAAACCAGAGGAGTATATTCATTCCTTATTATAGAAGCAGTTAAAGATTGGATATAATCTTAAATATAAGATCTCATTTTATTTTATTTCTCAAATTTATAATGTTTTTTCTAAAACATTGACCCCTGTTGATAGCAAGAGGCATCACCAAGATATAGTTTTAATACATATGATTAAAGAGGATAGTTTAAGAAACCAATACATATTTGTTATAAATTAACTAACTTAACTAATTTTTTTTAATCTCTTCAAATTAATTATATAGCTTTTATATTAAAAACAGGAGGCACTATATTAACAGTACGAAGTTTACAAGTGAAATTGAACCGATAAATCCTCTGCATCCATTTTAGTATTTGATATTTTCCCCACCAAGAGTTTTAATGCCACGCACCAACTATCACTCACATGCTACCACCTATCAAATTAAAATGTGATCTAGTTTTATCACCTCCACCACCTCATCATCATTGTCCCATGGAATTAAATGCCTTCTTCATCAACTTCTTCTCTATTCTCATTCTCATCAAAATTGCCTTAGTGGCCTCTCCATTATCTTCATCTTTATCCTCCGTCGTTTGTTGCAGCCCCTGTGTATATCTGTCTCCATTATCCTCTGACTCTCATTATTTGCCAGCCCTTATATCTATCTAATGCCTGCCGCAACTTCAACTCATACCTAACTATTTAAATTTATCACAAGCCGACCCAAAACTGTTGTTAATTACAATATTAACACACAACTGAAATCGCTGGCTTGAAGGAAGGGAGGAGCAAGTCTCTGCGATCTGATGGTAACTTAGTGGATGAGGGACCCTCTTCAGTGATTTGTTTCATCATGATGTTGATGACTTCCTCCCAAAGAAAATTTGGCTTCTTTTTCATAAGCATACATTTCTCATCATACTAAATTATTATGTGTTCCTAATCGATCCAAGCCCTCATGAAAGCTCCCTTCCACTTTAAGTCACACATTTTTTTTTTTGGGGCCCGCTTAAGTTATAGTTATTTATGTCCCCATCAATATCACTCATTAATATTCACTCGATATATCAATATTTAAATCTAGGTTGAATCATTTATATCTATAATTTTTAATTTTTGGTTTTTAGTTGATAAATTTATTTTTTAAAAAAAGTGGCCATTAATTTTTTAACTTAAATTTTACATTTATTAAAATTTAAAAATACTTAAAATATAAAAAATAAAAAATAAAAAAACATTGAATCCTTTATCTTTTGACAAGCCAAAAAAAAAAAAAAATCCCTTATCATATTTCCCTTCCAATTGAATACAGTATCATTAAAATATTTCCCTTCTCCACGCCGTTCAACCAAACAAGCTGTAAGAATTTTTGTTGTTAAAAATGGCATGTAAAGATGATAAATTTTTACCTACACTTTCTCTGTTACACGATTTTCATGCGATAAAATAAAATAAAATAAATTACAAAAGTTAAGTTTACACACATATCATCTTATTTATATAAATCCAATGAAATAAATCTCATTTTATTACGTAACATCATCGTAGAAATAGAATAAGAAAATTATTGCATTAAGTTTTCCAAGTATACTAAGGAATCATCAATACGGATTTATGATTCGTGACAAACAAACCGAACATTCTACCCTACACCGTTACACGGATCACAGGCTCCATCATACGGCAAGTATATATACTCCTTCGAGTTCAAAATACCTCCAAAAAAAGCTAAAAAATTATTTAAAATATTTATATTTTTTTCTAAATCAATTTGCTTAACTTATAAATCATACAAAATATGTTATAATCAATTTTTTAACTTTTTAAATCTCTTTGACGCAGTATGGAAAGAAAAAAAACATCCCGATAAGTAGAGATATGATGAGAAGAATTGATATAAGAAAAATATATATATTAAAATCAAATTAAAACTTAAAATAAATTTTATGTTTAAACCAAGACACGAGAGGGTACGATTGAGGTATTTATTGGCCTAAGGAACTTGGCACCTCATCCAATAATCCTTAGGCTCTCCACGGCTCCACCATAGAGATAATGGCTGACTAAGCAAGTCTTCTTGCAAAGGAGCGTCAGAACAGGAGCAAAGAAGAACAAGAAGAAAGAAAGAAGGAAATTTTGGTTAAAAGGATCAAAAGACAAAAATATTTGAGTAAAAGGACCAATTCTTAAATTGAACATTTTAGAGATCGTGGTTGTTATGGGAAATCATGTTTCAATGTCAAAAGACTGAATTACCCTTTTAATAAAAATATGAACACGAGACTGTGTCTAAATTTAGGAAAAATTTCAGAAGAATATGAGACATTTATTCAGATATTTGCCTCAAGGGATGGAGGATTCGGAAAATGTGTTAATGTTATTCGGAAAAAGGTTGTTCTATACATCGTTTTTTAAAATATGATAACAAAGTGTTCATAAAAAGTGTCTTTTCCCCAAATTCCTTTTCAGATAAACGTGTAATTTTATTCAGAAAAAGTTGTTTATTGCATAATTGTTTTTCAGATGGGAAAAGGACATTTTTCAGGATAAATAAAGTTGACTCAAGGTCCTCACGAAGACGACAAGCTTTTTTCAGGAAAAGGTGACAGTTTTATTTGAATATTGGCTACCATAACCCTCAATCATTTTTTCTATTAATTGCAGATTATTAGAAACAAGGAAGACAACTGAAGCTAATTTCAGAAAAAATTTCTTCCTTCATTTTCCAATGATATGTTGAAGAGTTTTGATGAAGATGAACAAAGACTCATGAAGATAATTGAAGCTACTTACAAAATTTTTTCTTGAAGAGGTGTTGAAGCCTTCTGAAGATTAATGAAAACTTTCAAAGAAATGTGAAGGGTAACTAAATCTGAAGTCTGTCTTCCTCTTTTTATTGAATGGTCTCGAAAAGACTCCGGTCCCTAATGTAGAATCTAATTAGAAAGTTAATGTTGGTCCTATATATAGGAGAGGAAGGGAGAAAATTAAGAAAGATATTTAGGATATTTAAAAAAATAGTATATTAACTAATTTAACTAATATTCTTAATCTACTTAAATTAATTAATGAAGTGCAAGGATCATGCTTAAAACTTACAAGATTACTGAAAAAAAGACTCTTGAACATTTTAGAATTTTTTAAACGAAAATGAAAGACTTCTGAAAATTCAAAAATATTTAACTGAAGATACAATTTTCTGAATTATGCTGAGAAAATTTTCCCCATAACTTAACACAATCTTCAATCTTCAACCCTTTTTTTTCACTTCTTTTCCTTGACTTTTTGAATATTTTACTTATTATTTGAATAATTTATCAAGTATCCAAATATTTTAGCAAAACTTTCCTGAAAACTTAATGCCATGTTCTGAAAAATTATGCCATGTAAGGCAAATATCCAATTTCTCGTACTTTGTAAATTTTCTTTAAAGGAGGCACAGTTGTCTTGGATTCACATTTGTTCTAAGTTTTCTTAAAGGAGTAATTTAGTCTTTTCATTTTTTTTTGGCCAACATAATTTAGTATTTTCGTGTTTAAATATAATTTCTCCCAAGACCATCATCTCCTAAAATATTTAATTCAAACACTGATCCTTTTATCTAAGCATTTTTGTCCTTCGGTCCTTCTAACCAATTTTGCCAGGAAAGAAACTGAAAAAGTATCGAGGCTTCTCTGCAACTCGGACACCCGCATACTCTGCATTCAATCATGGATTTTGTGTCTCTCTTCTTACCTTTTTTCTTTGTGAAGCTTGTTCTCAAATTAAAGTTTCCAGACTCAACGATCATAAGGAGTCTCTTTCAAGCAACCTTCCGCCACTCTCCGCCTCACTAATCGATTCCATCATCTAACCTCACTTTACCACACTTTCCATAATTCCATACTCAATTCCATCTTTGTTTCATGTTAAATTGTTAATATATACGTTAGGACGCCATAGCCTAGCAATCTCACCCTTGTTTCTGTTTCATTTTGGCTATTTTATATTGCCAAAACTCCCTAATCCCCATTTATCAGAGCCCAAGTCCGAGAAATTGAATCGTGTATTGTGGATCGTCTTCAATTTGACGCCATGCCGGGTTTAGTTGCGGTGAAAACCCCACCTCATGCGACGCCGTTCGGGGTCTCCGTTACCGAATATTCCAATGGCGGCGGACAAAGACCTTCTTCGCCCATCGTGAAGCGTAGCTTAAGGAAGTCACAAGAAAAGCCGATCACCGACGATTCCTCCCTCGACAACCCGGACGTAGGTCCATATCTTCTGAAGCTAGCCCGAGATGCGATAGCTTCGGGCGAGAACCCGAACAAGGCGTTGGACCTTGCGATCCGGGCGTCCAAATCGTTCGAACGATGTTCCGGTCCGGGCCTGGAGCTTGCCATGTGTTTGCACGTTGTGGCGGCGATCTACAGTAGTTTGGGGCGGTTCGGGGAGGCGATTCACGAATTGGAGCGGTCCATTGAGCTTCCGGATCCTGGCAAAGGGTCGGATCATGCCATGGCGAAGTTTTCCGGGTACATGCAATTGGGGGATACATATTCGATGATTGGGCAGCTGCAACGGTCTATTAAGTGTTACGGTTCGGGATTGGAGATCCAAACGGAGGCTTTGGGAAAGTCCGACCCGCGAGTCGGAGAGACTTGCAGGTAAGACTTTTTTAATGAGGCCGAACAAAAAGTCCATGCTGTCCCTCTCACTTACCCGTCTCACCGGAAGACATCACAGAATTTAAAAAATAGTAGTATATCTCATGATGTATTCGGTTTTCTATACATCACGACAATAACAGATTTTTGGGGGCAAAAAGGTAATTAGAAACTATTTATTTTTTATCAATCGTGGCGGTATGCGTTATGCTCATCTTGAGTCTTTGCCTCACCTTATCCATCCGTGCTAGACGGTGGTCCCTGGTCCAAGCGGTGGATATATATATGTTGATTGTTAAAATATTAAAAAAAAGTGTACACATAGCGGATAATATAATACTACCAATTATGTTACACAGTGTATTTTATGTTTAGTACCGGAGGTAATACTAAAGAATAAAGAGTTGTTAGAATTTTAATTTAATTATGAAAATACGGATTTGTGAATTCGCATAGATTAGGCCTTGTTTTTCTTTCCAATCGATTTATCGCCATTTTTTCCTCTGAGTTTGACTTTGGCGGTGACATGTTTGTTAGTTTATTTTATTACTGGTTTTTTGGCCTATCTGATCCGGAGAAATAATTTTATATGGTGTTAGCTTTAAGATTTGGTTAATCATGTTTTGCCCGTATGATTAGAAAAAAATAATTTTATTCATAGGTAGCATTGTGGTTTGAATTATCTTGTTAATTAAGGATGTTATTTTTTACTTAGTAAGATAAAGCTTGTTGTTGTCGTAGTATCAATAATAGTATTCAATTATCACAAATTTAATTACCTTTTGAGTAATTTAAAACAGAGGCCTTATCATTTAAGTCTTTTAATCCTCTCTATTAACAAAACGAATTTAGATAATGTATATGGAGAGAGTGACATGATGAGACAATATAATTGGGTGTACTTGACTACATGATTTTACTCAGACAATCTTTTAATTAATGATTCCATTCTTGAGAGCCATTCCATACAATGATCACTATCTCCACTCCACTCTGATACTACCGATCGACCCAGGTATCAGGTCATTTCGCAGTGCATATCTATTTATTTTGTTATCCTTTTGTTTATTTGTTTTCATCTGGTCAACATTTGTTTCGTGCGCCTGATGATTCTTTATGAATAATAATTAGATGACCTATTGAGATGGTGTTGAATTTTGCCCATAATAATTGGCTCCTGATAGGTACTTAGCTGAAGCACATGTTCAGGCTATGCAATTTGATGAGGCAGAGAACTTCTGCAAGAAGGCTCTTGAAATTCACAGGGAGCATAGCTCCCCAGCTTCCCTTCCTGAAGCAGCTGATCGGCGCCTTATGGCTCTTATATGTGATGCAAAGGGAGATTATGAATCGGCACTTGAGCACCTCGTCCTGGCCAGCGTATCAATGATTGCCAATGGACAAGACGATGAGGTTGCAGCTATTGATGTTAGCATTGGCGATATTTACTTGTCACTCTGTCGTTTTGATGAGGCTGTCTTTGCCTATCAGAAAGCTCTTACTGTGTTCAAATCCACCAAAAGCGAGAACCATGGTTCTGTGGCATTAGTATACATTCGCCTTGCTGACCTTTACTACAAGACAGGAAAATTAAGAGAGTCAAAATCGTACTGTGAAAATGCCTTGAGAATATACAGCAAACCTGTTCCTGGAACCACCTCTGAAGAGATTGCCAGTGGATTAACTGAAATCTCTGCCATCTATGATGGTCTGAATGAGCCTGAAGAGGCACTGAAGCTCTTGCAGAAGGCAATGAAGTTATTGGAGGATAACCCTGGACAGTATAGGACGATCGCAGGAATTGAAGCACAAATGGCTGTGTTGTTCTACATGGTGGGGAAGTTCAAGGAGGCTCAGGACTCTTTTCAAAGCGCTATCACTAAGCTGAGGGCTAGTGGGGAGAGGAACTCTGCCTTTTTTGGAGTTTTGTTGAACCAAATGGGACTGGCTTGTGTGCAGCTGTACAAAATAGGAGAGGCGGCCAAACTTTTTGAAGAGGCAAGAGAGATATTGGAGCAGGAGTGTGGGACATATCATTTGGACACTCTAGGAGTGTATAGCAACCTTGCAGCAACTTATGATGCCCTGGGGAGGTAATTCGTAATCATTCTTTCATAGTCATTTGTCTCTCTCCCTCTCTCTCTGTCACTTTCACACGATTATGTTTCTTAAGTTCACTTGTTTTGGCTTGGTCCTTCCCTTTCTTTATCAATGGCATATACCTTCTTTCGAGCACATTGATAATTTTCTTACACGGACTTCTATCAAGCAAGTGATCCTTGGTACGTCATTATCCTTATTTTCTATATGCTTGGCTACTTGGAGCTGAGTTAAAAAACGATCCAATAGCCTTCTATTGAGGACATCTATGCAACAAATACATTTTAAGCTTTACATTCGTTATGAATTCTAAAATGTCCGGGAATCCAAAATTTCCTCAAACCGAACACCACCATAGTTGTTTTCTTTCAACCGTTGAATATGGAAATCTCCCATTCATTACATGTCATGAAAACCGTGCAATTCTTCTTCCAGCAGTTTTTGCACTTTCGCATGGATGAATTGAAGCCAGCTTGTTTAGTGATCAGTGGAATATTGAACTTCTGAACATGTGGTGATGTTGATTACTTCTTGTTGGGTTAAAATTAGTTTTTTTTCCCCCCTCTTTTGGTGTGAAACGCACAGGGTTGATGATGCCATTGAGATATTGGAGCAGATACTGAAGATGAGGGAAGAAAAGCTTGGAACGGCAAATCCAGATGTTGATGATGAAAAGAAGAGGCTATATGAGCTTTTGAAAGAAACAGGAAGAGTTCGGAATAAAAAGGGAAAATCCCTTGAAAATCTTATAGATTCCAACTTTCTAAAGATGAAGAAAGAAGGAAGGAAGAGAAGGGCTGCATTTGGTTTGAGAACTTAAAAAAGTGGTCTTGTCTTAACTCTATTTTCCTCTCCTATGTTGTTCTTTTTGTGAAGAAAAAAACTACAAATAAATAAATAAAGGGAAAAAATAAATAAAACCTCTCTCACATTCGGTCTCTAGAAGAACATGTAAAGGCTTTAGATTGAGATATGTTTCTTTAGCTTTATATTTCCTATTGTCAGCTGTCACTCGTTTCTGTTTTAGTTTTTACACCCCCCCCCCCAAAAAAAAAAAAAAAAACTCTTTTCTGTCGGTGATGCGGTTGTTTTTCACCCGAAGATAAACCTATATTACGAGTGAACAAATTTCTGCATCTGCACCTTATTGGTTAATATGTTGCTTTTTCTGTTCCCTGCTCTGAGGCCCTGTGGAAGAATAAAACTGTGCCTGAGAAAGAAGCTCAGGGTGCAGATTCGATCTTGTTTTAGAGGGGGAAAAATAGCAAGAGTCTTGTACCATTAAAAAGAGCAAAAAATACCGACTTTTGTTTGCGCTCCCATATCTTCTGGACTAATCCATTTCATTTTATACAACAGAAACAGAAAACTAACACAATGCTCAAGCTAGGTTTTGTTAACTATTACTCATAACAGTATCTTGAAAGATGAGTTATATTCGTGTTCAGCATATGTTAGACACTTAGATTACATCATTTCATATATATTGAGAGAAAAGATGTTTGCGATCTGATTCTTCAATTAAAACATCACTATAAAAGAATTTTTTTAAGCCTTAGCATTTTATAATTAAGCCTTCTAAAAAGAAAGCTCTCCGCTACATCACCTCATGTAAATTTCATTGTAGAATTTAATAACAAATACCAGCTGGTAAATTTTACTTTTTCTGTTTATTTGATTGTGGTGGTGTCAATTTGCTCTTAAAGCATTATGATTCATTATTCTTATTTTGTTTCTTTGCATTCTTTTTCTGTTATGCAGACTGATTAAACATGCGAATACGTAATTTTCCAGGTACTTCTAAAACGAAGCGAAGAAGAATTAAGACAGGATATGAAAGAAGTCCTAATACGGAACATGTTCAGCTTGAAGATGATGACCACGAAGGTAGAAACGAGAGCTGATTATTGATGGAAGCTTTGAATTCAATGAAAGAGATTTCTTCTCCATAAGTTGCAGTCAAGGATTGGTTAGGGTCATAGTCATTAAAGGGGTAGTAAGCAAACGAGATGGTAATATGAAGCTGAGTCAAGCCGTAGCTAGCTAACTTTTTTGTTTTTTCTTTTCAATTTTCAATGATAGGACATGAACAGTGAGGAAAAAGATGATATACTATACTACTACACAATAATACTCTTACTTGTATTATTGTACACCTATACCTGGTCGGTTTCATATCGTATAGTTTAATTATCAGAAATAATAAAGTTATTCAGAGAGCCGAACAACTTTTCGTTATGACATCGAAATTGCTGCTTGGCAATAGCAGATACGTATTTCTTGAAAACTCTTGTATTGGTTAATTCCCTATTTGTTCTAGAGAATCTGGGGGCGTGCCGGCAAAAGCCAAATGCAATATACTCCTATGACATTATTTTGAGGAGTTTATACTCGTTCAAAATCATATGATGAGGGACTAGATGCTCATATTTGACCGTATCTTAATTTAGTCACGTAGCTAATTGGTTAGCTCCCTCTCTCTCTCTCCCCTTTTGTATATATGTAATGACTAATGAGACCACTGCTGTCTTCGATTATATCAGTCCTTGTTTCTATGTGGCATCATGCCTTTTCCAATTTTTTTTTTCCTTGGAAACATTTAGGTCGGATATCTAGTAAAAAGAGAAGTCTGACCCAAAGAATAATGAATTTCTACGCCTGCAATCTTTCTAGATAATCACCAGTTCCTAGTTCCAACTATTTTGAAGTGGGACACCTTGAAAATGATAGTTAATAGTGGGATCCCCCATATATGAGAAGGGCGACCTTTCAATATGATTCATAATATAAATATTTTCTCTCTTAATCTTACTCGTCTCAAATTATAAGTCTATCAAATCTTTTTTCTGTTTTTATCTTTATAAAATTAAATATTATAAGTAATTAATGCATTACCACTAATGTAGTATTGGTTTTTCTCTTGGAAAGGACGGATTTAAAGAAACACTAAAAAAAAAATTTCATTTAGCAATTACATGAAACCTATATTGTGTATCTGAGTCCAAACTAGTGGGAGATTTTTGAATATGCAGGATATATATATATATATATATATTTATATATATATGGTGGAAAGTGACTGAACAAAGCAGCTTAATGGCAACTTAGCAAGAGAGGCCATTCGTCCAGCCTCTCATAAGAAAAACTCAAATAGAGTCACTGTGGTTAGGTGTCCTCGGTCCCAACAGTGAGACTATGACCTGTCCACGTAATCCCTCCCCCTTTTCAACGAGCCCCATCAGTCCAATCTCTCTATCTTTCATTTCCACTTCACCTTTGAAAACTCCGACCCCCTCATTCCCTTTTTCACCTGCATTATTCTCTCCTTCCTCTTCATTTCTTCACTTTTTCTTTTAATAAAAAATATGATGGTATGGACATATTCTAACTAATTTCCTTGTCGGTGCATGCTCAATAATGCATTTTACAAGAATGCCTTTTCTCAAGTTCTTATATATATGTATATGTATATATATGTCCTGTTTGATCCTCAGGAGTTCATTATATTATTTGACATATAAAATGATAATAAGAAATATTACTAATTAATTATTTTTTAAAATAATACTGAACTAAATAAATCTATTTAAGTGAAAGTATTATATACATGTACTTAGAAGGAAACTTCCGGAAAAGATACATAAATGCTAATTATGGTTGTCGATACGTAACAACTTCGTATTCCCGTCACCTCACCTCGGTTAATCTCCCTCTATATATACCTCTCTCTAAGACATCATGTCTCAGCGCTATTCCCGATAAGATGGAGGCGAAACCCCACCAACCATGCGCGGCTTGCAGAATGCTTCGCCGGAGATGTGACGCCAAGTGCCTCCTCGCTCCATACTTCCCGGCCGACCAGCTTGACAAGTTCGCCGTCGTCCACAGAGTCTTCGGCGCCAGCAACGTTATCAAAATGATTCAGGTATATATACGCACACCTCCCTGCCATGCACTTACCAAGTTCCAACACACACACACACAATTGAATCTGCAAAGCTTTAACACATATCTTCCGTTAAGCGTGACTATATACATATATATAAATATATATATGCACGCAGACGTTCTTGTCTGATTTGTTTTCTGATATATATGCATGTATCTTCTGTAAATGATGAAGATGGTGGAGGAGACGAAGAGGGAGGATGCGGTGAAGGCGATAGTGTACGAGGCAATGGCGAGGGTGAGGGATCCGGTGTATGGCAGCGCAGGAGCCATCCAGCAGTTGCAGAAGATGGTTCAAGAGCTCAAGATGGAGGTGGAAACCATGAACGCTAGGGTTTCAGAGGTGCAAGAACAGAGAGATCAGTTGCTCATGAATATTGCTCATACGAATCTTCTTCAACATCACCACCAACATGATGTTATTGATCTTGTTCCTCATCACCATCATCAGTTTCCCATCAATGTCCAAGACCCTTTCTCTGATGATCTTTACGATGCTTTTTCGCTAGATCCAATGGATCAATTCCCTCTGCGAGGCGATTGGGTCTTGTAGTGCATCGATCTGCTGGAAACTAATTAAGCCAGATTCGAAAAAGAAAAGAAAGTGGTCGATTAGTGTAATAGTGTTAGTCATATCAAATTCAAACGCTTTGATCTTTTTAGGATTCAGACAAGTTAGCATACTGTAATCCCGTTGAATTTTCTCTGTTGTCGGCCATGTGTGTACCTGCTTGTGCATATATATTAACAAATTTTTCGTACTTTCTCCAGTCAACAAACTATATCCGAATACCAGATTAATCAGAGAATTACAATACACACACACACATATATATATATATATTCTTATGAACCAAAGCTGAATAATCTGCGAAATTGGAATAGATTATAATATACACGCTCGCTTTTACTATTGGACTAGTTTCCTGGACACTAAGAAAAAGGCCATGAGGGAATGCACACACTAAGGTATTGGTACGAGGGAAACGGAGAAGCGGGCAGGGAAAAGAAAATTTTAATGGGTTCTATTTAAAAAATTAGAGAAGTAGGGTTTGGAAATTTTAATAAAGAGAAAAAATAATACTACCTCCAGTTTTAAATATAAGAGCTAGTTGACTAATTTGAGTAAATTAACAAAAGAAATTAAGTTAGTTATTTGTAATAAATAGGTGTTGTCTTTCCTAAAATATCCTTGCTAATTAAGTATATTGGCTAGAACTATCATTATTAGAAAGACTATTTTGGAAAAAATACATAAATATGAGAGAAAAAGTGGATTGGGGTCTTATATTTAGAACCAAAATAAAAATTAAACGAGATCTTGTATTAAGGACCGGAGGTAGCATAAGTAATAAAAATTAATTAAAAGCTTTTAACCCCACTTTTTTCATTTTTTAAATTGAGCTTATTAAAATTTTCTCTTCCCTCCTCTCCTCTTATTTTTCCTCATACCAAACGGACCCTAAAACTCATGATCTTGATCGTGTAGCACATTGGATGATCATCATATATATGATCGTGTAGCACATCACTTTTGTCTTTACTCTATATCCTAGCAGTGTGGCACATATAATTGCTCATGTTTTTATTGTTTGTATTGTAATATTTGGAAATGTACGTAGGGTTGTTAGATCACAGAAATGGGTTATAATTATATATTGACGCAGATAATTTTGAAAGGGTCAACGAAGATATATTTAATGTTGAAATTAACGGAATAAAACTCTTGCAAAGGAAAAAGATCTTCTTGTTCTCAAATAATGTTCTTCTTGAAAATTCATTTCAAGTGGACCATAGGAAGCTAAAAACAAGAAAATTATTCATGGAAATCAACCTGTGCCTAACTTTGTTTGCTGGTATGGAGTTTCATTGCATGCAGATGTATATTGTATTTATAATCCATACGATTAATTAGCACGCATTTGTTTAATTATAGACTGCTTGCTTATCGGATACTACACAAACACGACTTCTTTTTTCATATGGCTCTCTGACCGCATCAGATTCAAGTATTATTGGGATAGCAGCCTCCTAAAATTATTTTCTACATTTACACGAACTCAAATTTAAGACCTTATATTTAAGTACTCAGAGCCCTTTCAATAAAAACCATACCTATTAGATATTAGTATACAAACATGACTCTTGCATACCCATGAAAGTGGCCTCACACTGTAAACCACATTATATGGAGAAACTTTGGATCCTCCCTCTGTAGGTTATCGTCTCCATTTGCCTCATGTGAAATTTTTGTGATTGATTAATTTCATCACAAAAAGAGCCAATCGTAACACAGATCAAAAGATAACCAAAAAGAGTATATCTTTGATGTAAAATAGGATCTTCATATTTACTACCTCCGGTTCTAATTATAAGAGCTAGTTGACTAATTTGAGGAGATTAAGAAAAAAAGTTAAGTTAGTTATTTATAATAAATAGATGTTGTCTTTCCTAAAATATCATTATCAATCAAGTGTGTTGGCTAAAATTACAATTATTAGAAAAAATTACGTAAATATAAAAGACAAAATGAATTGAGGTCTTATATTTGAGATCAAAATAAAAATCAAATAAGGTCTTATATTAAGGACCGGAGGTAGTATTATATTTGAGAATAAAGTGTCTTTTCATTTCTAGCTCTCGTATACGAGAAAAAAAGTCTATGTATTTCTAATCATCAACGACTTTGTTTTAATCTACTGACTTCATTCATTACTTTAGATCATCGATCTTCAGTTTAAAATATTGTTTTGAAATAGTTCTCTAAATTATAAATTCCTATCAAATTAATTATGATCCCATTGTTGCAAGGGCACCTATCAAAAAAAAAAAAAAAATTAATCAATTAGTCCTTATGCTTTACATACCTCTTATTTTGAAGCCCCTTAAATTCTTAAAGGAACTTACGAAATAGCCCTTATATATAATTTCCATGGAGGTTGGTCTCTGGATTTATCAGAGGCATCCTTTAGCCTTCCACGTGCCCACCAAGAGGTCAAAACAATGTTATTATATATTGATTTAGCTTGCAAAAAATTGACGTAGGCTATCTGAAAAAAATATGACCTCACGATGAAAAATGACTCATCATTTCTTGCCCCCAATTATTAACCTTCTCCCTCTTTCCCTTCCCAGTCCATTTTCAATGAGAGGGTCATAAATCCCCCACCGCAAAAATTAGTTTTATTATCATTTTTTTGCCACCAAAAATTAGTTTTTATTATATATCGTTAAAACACTTCTTCCACCGATAATTAATCAAATCAAGATATCAAAATCAGTGATCAATCATACATAACAATCTAATGTAACGATGCAAGTTACTCAAGGGTGAACATGCAATTATGGTTAACTCTGGGATCGAGATCCGGGAATTTTTTTAACATAAAGAAATAAAATTTTAGTTTTTGCCAGAAATAAAGAAAGAAATTTTGAAATTGTAGTGAAGTTTAGTCGAAATTTTTACTGTTATCAAATATCGTTATCATCATCACACCAGACATTAGCATTATGTTAATCTCAAAAATACTTCAAGCAAAGTTTCCGGTAATTTTAAGAACTAGTTTCTTAATTAATAAAAAAGTTAAGGTAATCTTGATCCCAGTTTATCATAACTCTGGAGATCATAAAAAAAAAACCTATATTTTCACTGTAAAACATCAGGATCAATCAATTAAATGTCCCTTTAAATTATTTCAAACATAATTTACATGTGAAATGATAATACCGTTGCAATAGGAATTTTTTTTTATACTAAAGAGAGCTAAAGCCCAAAAAACAGGAAATTAAAATGGGGGAATTAAATCCCAAACATTCATCAAAGGCCAAAGTCCGCAGGTGAGGCAACAAGAATATAAAGGGGAGAATTAGAAAAACCTTCCTTAGTAATTAAGAGCATCTACAATTGATTTTTTTTTTTTGGTTACGCAAAGATATCTTTATATTGAAGATAATTTTGTTCAAAACACTATCAGACACTAAATGTAGTCATTTCTCTCAACAAATATTCAAACCTTAGTCAATCATATTATGAGGAGACTAACCTTTTTCGGTTGATATATTTGCAAGTCGATTTGTTTATTTTTTTGCTAAAGCATAGGTATTTTCTTATTGGAGGTAATCTTATTTGAGACACTGTCAGACACTAAATGTGGGTATCTCTTCCAACAGGTATTCAAAATTTAGTTTGCTATGTTATGAGAGATTAGTTTTTTCTGTTAGACCCAATCCTATTAGTATATTTGCAAGTTGATTTTGGCCCTTGTGGAGTGGTGGAAAATACTTACAAATGAAATGAATCAGACGAAGCCCATATATTTTTTTGTAATGCCCAGTTGAGCCCACTGATAAGAGATCCATAGTCTGGAACTGATTACAGGCTTACGTTAGACCAAGACATTTCAATTCAAGCTAACTCAGGCTAAAGCCTAATTTTGAAGCTGTCCGGCCTAAACTTGGACTAAACTAAGAAAAAAATTTCAGGGGTTTAAGAGAATTCCACCCCTCCTTCCAAGAAAATTCCTAAAAAAAAAAATAAATATGCAGCTATAATGGTTGTATATTGACGCTAAACCAACAATTCAACATCACAGAGTTTGACATTAATTAATCTCTATGTTCATTTTGTACCTTGACGCTAAATATAAATACTCATCCGGTCCTTATTATAAGACTCCATTTGATTTTTTATTTGGTCCTAATTATAAGACCCCAATCCATTTTGTCTCTTATATTTATGTATTTTTTTCCAAGATAATCCTTCTAATAATGATAGTTTTAGCCAATATACTTAATTAGCAAGGATATTTTAGGAATGACAACACTTATTTATTATAAATAACCAATTTAACTTACTTCCTTAATCTCCTCAAATAAGTCAATTGGGTCTTATAATTAGGACCGGAGGAGTATTAACATAACAATGAATCACCAAACGAATATATTATTAATATGCAGCTATAATGGTTATATATTTGTATGGTACCGAAATGAATTATGCTCCCTGGTCGGAAAAAAAAAGAAATGAATTATGCTAATCATGATTTATGTAATTCTTAAACAATGGCACAACAAATTAAAGTAACAATTACTCACACAAAAAAAACAAATATCCGTGACAGTTACTTTTAAAATAAGAATGGGCAACGAAAGTCACATGTATGAATGTATGATCAAATATTACAAAAGTGTAAGCATGCAGGCTTTTTGGGCATAGAAGTTCTTTCATTCAGTCCTCACGAGATAACCCAACAAAAAATCAACTTATATTTTCATTTATGGTAACAACGCAGACAAGTCGAAAAGGAGACACCGTAACAAAATTACAAAAAATGTTTTATTGGATTTAGTAAAGATTTTTTGGATACATAGAAGATTTTTTGAAGATATAAAATTGTCATGGGATAATATACTTTTTATTCCTTAAATTTGTTTTTATTTTAATCTTAATTTCTCAAATTTCAAATCCTGCTCTCTTAAGAGATAAAATGATCTAAATTTTTATTAACTTATAAGAATAGTATTTTAAATAAATAAAACTTGAGAAACAAAAATATATAATTCAAAATTTAAGAAATCAAAACTAAAATAAAAATAAATTTAAAAAATCAAAATTCGTATTAAGTCAATTTTTTTTTTTTAACCTCACAACAACATGTGTTAGCTCTAATAAATGTGGCCACGCGGGAATTTTCTCCGCAGTTCGCACAGCATCTCATGCCAAGTAACTGTATTAGGAATACCAAGATCAAATTTTTTTCAGAAATAAGTGTTCCCACTTCGGTTCATCCATCGGGATAGTCCTGTAGAATCATGCTACTTCTGAATCTAACGCGAATTATAGAGGGTTCCTCGAACTAGCTTGCATGATGCTTTGGAGTTCATCATCTGCTTCAGGTTTCTCCCGTTGCTAGATGCTACTCCTCTCAGTGTGGCTAATAAAGAGTTCGAAGATTCACCATGGCGGAGACAAGCTCTGGTTCTATTAACCCACCTTCTTCCACCGTCAATCCCATTGATCACTTTCCTCTCCGCCTTCACAGATCCGAGATCGTCATCCCTGCTCCCACTGGTTCCCAATGCACCATCGACTGGCTTCCTGATTTTTCCGGGTATTCATGGATCGCCTACGGAGCGGCTTCACTCTTAGTCATCTCCCACTTCCCCTCTCCTCTTTCTGTCGAAGAATCTCATATTGGTCCCATCTTCCGGCAAGTCTTCGAGCTCTCTGGCGACCCCTCATCTGTTGTGGCCGCCGTTTCTTGGTCTCCGGGGGTGCCATCCATTGGGGAGCTGGCGGCCGCAGCTGAAAATTGTATCTGGCTTTTCTCGCATGATTCGTCCAAGGGTAAAGGTGAGTTAAAGTTTCAAAATTTTCTGTTTTCTGTTGAGAATTTTTAATTTGAAGACTGAAGAGGGATATAGAACGGACTGAACAATGTGAATTCGAAGTTGGAATAGGTTGGCATGTGCTAATGTTTGTTCTTTTCATATGCATTGCTTAAGGGTATAGGATTTTTAATTGATCAAATGTCATTGATTTTCTTTAATATTTACTAGAAGTGAGGCTGGTGCTAACTTGGTGTGCCAACTGCAATTTCATGTCTAAAAATAAACGCAGGAAAATCAGAAAATTGGAGAGAAAATGTGGAAGTGTGGCTATCTAAATTTATTCAATGTTGTTTTATTTAAATTATTAAATTACAAACGTTGCATTTATAACCTTAGATATCTCCTTATTTTGCCATTTAGTCATGCAAGTATCAACATGAACTCCTTTTGAATATTGTGGGCATCAAAATAACATTGCAAGTGTCAAGGGTTCTCCAGCTTAAGTTTGAAAAATGAAAATCTTTCAAACATCGCGATTATCTGTGCTTATATTGTTTTGGCACAGGATTAATTGTAGAATGAGCAATTGCTCTTACTCCCTTTTCTGTTCCATTTGAATTGCAGATATTAAAACCACAATCTTGTTACTCATATTCAGGTTCTTTTTGTTGGAGCCAGAATGCAGTGCTTACACATTGTATGAAGGTTGAGGCTATCACATGGACAGGATCTGGCGATGGATTAGTATCTGGTGGAACAGAGGTGGTTTTGTGGAAAAAGAGCAACAGGTGTTGGGAAATTGTTTGGAAGTTTAAAGCAGATGAACCCCAAACTCTTGTTTGTGCAAGCTGGTCCATTGATGGCCCTTCAGCAACTGCTGCACATCCTAGTAAACAACATATTGAAAGAGAGTCTTTAGCTAATAAGGTAAGCAAATGCGTGTTGGTGTGTCAAAGCAATGGACTTTCTGAATATACAAAATCTAAGCTACATCATCCCTTACCCGTCACAATGATTCAATGGAGACCATTGAGAGGAATGCCACCAAACCGAAAAGGGAGACACTCAGCTAGGCATGTATTACTGACATGCTGCTTAGATGGAACTCTAAGGTTATGGAGTGAGGGTGATAATGGAAAAACGAGGAAAACAGGTTACTGCGCTGTTTCTGTCATTGAGATTAATCAAGCCTTGAATGGAACTCTTGGTGTAGATATATCCGTGACATGGGGGACAGAAAGTGGGGGGATATTTAAAATTTCTGAAGGGACCAGCCAAGTCTTCTCCAAAGAAGGATTTGACCATGAAGTTGGAAAATGTGATTGGTTAGTTGGATTTGGTCCTGGAATGTTGCTTAGCTTATGGGCCATCCACTGTCTTGATGATCTCTGCCCACTTAGATTTCCCCGAGTTAAGTTATGGAGGAGACATGAACTCTGTGGCCCTGAAACAGGGAATCTATATAGGTTTGACTCATCTGATTACAAAAAGGTATTACTTCTGAATAAAGTCATTTTATTGAGGAACTGCTGGTCTGGTCCGCCAGTTATATGCTCTCCAGTCCAGTTATTGACGTCCAATTCCTTGATCCGGTCATTTGTTTATATTCAAACACTACATGATGCTGTAAAAAACTCCCTTGATGATACCAACACTGGGAACATCTCACATTTGAAGGGTGGAGTTTTAAATTTGGATGGTCATGTTGGGAGAATTTTAAAGGTTTCTATTCATCCTTCTGCATGTGAAGTTCAAATTGCTGCTTCTCTGGATTCTAATGGACTGCTCCTTTTTTGGTCACTTTCTAGGATTCCAAACTGCACTGTGGGATGTCCAACCTTGATTCCCACTTGGCAACTGTGTGGAAAGCTTGTAACACATGACCGTTGTTCCATGTATACAAGCTTGAGGTGGGCACCTTCAGTATTGGATGATGAACAGGTTCTTTTCATGGGACATGCCAGAGGGATTGATTGCTTTATTGTCAAGTTTTGTCAAACTGAAGAAGAAAATATACAACACCACTACTTTTGCACTATACCTTTCAGCGGTCATGGTCCTTATGAGGATGGCCCTACTGATATCTTTGCAATTTCTTTGGACTCCACTTGTAACAAAACATTTTCTGACAATAAGCTTATGCTTTTGGCAATTTGGATGCGGGGATTTCAGGCCTTGTCATGGGAAATTACCTTGCACTCATTTGACATGTCAACAAGCTATTGTGAATGCAATTTTGATGTTAAGAGTCTTGCTGACCACAGTATTTGGGCATTTGAAAGTGCTTTTGCTGGTAAAAGATACTGCATTAGTGTCAATCCTTGTTCATCTGAGTTTTCTAGTACTCTTAATAATGATCCGGTTACTAGCTTTGCTGTGGCTTGTCCAGCTACTCTTAGCCAGAGACAACAAAAATTTTGTTTTGCAAATGACCATTGTAGCTGTTATCCTGCATATATCCTCATCACAGGCTGCTCTGATGGCAGCTTGAAACTGTGGAAAAGTAAGCATGGTAACAGATCAACCTTGCACTTGCCATGGGAGCTTGCTGGTATGTTTGCTGCACATGAAGGTCCCGTCAATGGTATAGGTTTGACTGATTGTGGTCAGAAGATCGCTACATTCTGCAACAGGAGTAATTCAAATGCAGTTAGTGCCATCCATATATGGCATGCTGTAAACCTGACCAGTGCGGGGACTTTTATTTTGGAGGATAAGCTAACCTTTGATAGTGATGTTGTTACTCTAAACTGGTTCACTTTGGGAACTGGCCAGTTATTGCTTGGAGTAAGTTTGCGAAATGAATTGCAAGTATATTCTCAGAGGCGTTATGATGGTTCAGCTTTCTTAACCTCTGGAAACTTTTCCAAAATGAATATATGGGTTTGCATAGCATCTGCTCATACCCCCATTCCCATTCATGACTTCTTGTGGGGGCCCAGAACCACAGCAGTGGTAATTCATAGACATTACTTTACTATATTTAGTAGTTGGTTGTTCCATGTGGATGAGAAGCAACAAAGTAATCCTCATTCATGTGAGTCAAAGGCAAATCTCTATAACTATGAGGGCGGTGCATTTGAAGACATGCTTTCTACAGTTTTCTCTGATGGTGACATAGGTGCCTTCAGTGAGCTGTCAACTGGGGATAGTATTGGAGACCCTGAGTCTATGCATCCTATCAAAAGTAGTATGAAGACCAATGAGCTAGATACCAGCTTGCTTCTAGCTAAGTCTCAAATGGAAGCTCAACTTAGTACCCACACTGGTGTATGGAGCATCTTTGAAATTGTGGAAAAATTAAATGGATCTTTGCCTATTTATCACCCTGATTTACTCCTTATTAATATAAGTTCAGGTAATGAATGAATCTTTCTTGTTCTCCCACCTTTTCTTTCCTCTTTGGTATATGAATGATTACTTTATCCAAATTATGAAATTAAAAAAGCTATCAAGAGCTTTCTTTATAAAAGGATTCCTTGGGTAGGTAATTTATGGTGTTCCAATTTATCTGCTGCTAATTACTGTTTACAGTTAATGCTGCGATTTGCAAGACAAGTTTTGTTCCCAATCTGCTTTGATAGTGTTTGAAAGAATTTGCTTATGAGGCATGCAAATGGAGATTGCATAAAATCATTCATGCTGTTTATCTCTAATGTTTTCAGGCAACTGGAAACGTGCATATGTGGCAGTGAGGCATCTTTTTGACTTTTTGAATTCTAATTATGCTCCTGAAAACAGTTGTATCTCCAAAAAAATTGGTCCTCCAGTGATCTTACTGTCAAATTATTTAGAAGGACTTGTTTCAAAAGGTTCCCAGGATAGGGAATTCCAATGGAGTGGGGATGCTGCTTCGATCTCCCTCTCTCAAAGTAGCTTCGTGCAGTTTCCATATCCTTCAGGCTTCACTGTTGAAAATACATCCTCAACAAAATCTGAGCTCGATGGCTTCACCAGATCCCTTGAAAATTTGCCTGGCTTAGAAGCTATTATTAACATAAAAAAGACACAGATTCTTGCAGTTATTGATCTGCTCAGTGAAGTTAATAATCTACACTCATCTTCTGCATATCAAAGTCTTGATGAGTCTGGACGAAGGTATTCCCAAGTTAGTGTAGTAATGTGTAGCTCTCTGTTAAGCTTTCCTATAAATTTTTTTATTTTCTTTTTTACGAGTGAAATCCTTTGGATGACATGAAGGAAGCATATAGCCCAATTATTCTAAACGTAAGGAAAAAAAGGAAACCCTAGAATTGACAGAAGAAAAAGAGTTGGAATAACCTGCATCAGCCAACTCTACAATGGACAATTTGGAAACAGAAAGCTAAGCAGAAGAAAAAGTAAATTGAGTTTAATCTCCGCCGAATCTCTTGTAACAGGTCTTATGGCCCCTGGAGTTTTACTTGTCCTGTACTACTCAAAGGAGGAAAACCAATGTGCATTAAGAGGAATACTCTTGGCAAACTAAGCGTTGAGACAAGCTAGCTTAGGATTAATTAATTTTATTTATTAGGTTTTGATATTTGTTTATTATGTCCTAGGACTAGATATGGATATCATATCCTATATTAATCTCTCATTATATATTATCTATCTTAGAAGAATAAATCTGAGATATTAGGATTAGATTGGATTAGATAAGATTCTAGGTTTAGCTTATTAGCTTATGGTTTGCCCATATAAAGGCTTATCTGTACTCTTATTAATTCAAGGATTAATAATAACTCAGAGACTCTATTTTCCCTCTATCTCCAATCCTTCAAATTCTACACCAAGCTTAAATTCTGAGACATTAGTGGCGTGGGTGTTTTGCATCGCTTTTTATATTTTGGTTATTGCATTAAAACTTTTGTGGCACCTTCTTGACGTTACCTTGTTCCAGGAACTCGTAGTACTAAGTGATTTGCATAGTTATATGTTTTGCACCATTGCATTTGCATAAGAATAATTCATTTATAAAGAAATGAGCTATCAGCTTATAACTGAACTTATCTGTGACCTTTGGAACTTGTGGTAGGGCCTATGCAGAATGGTAATCAGATGTCTGAGGTTCTTTTGGCTATCAAGAAGAACCAGCATTTTCAGTCTTAATTCAGGATAAAGGATGATTAATCTTGATGCTAGAAGGGGAAAAAACCAACTTAATTAGTAGTTCCTTTTCTAGTATTTGGTTATGGACTGGGAAATAGAAAATTTTGATTAAAAGCTTGCATGCTATGCTTAAAATTATTCTAACCTCAACTGTTGACAACAGAGCTTTATATCCTTTGCCCCTTTAGGAACTATAATGTCCACTAGTTTTTACATTGCCTGCAAAATAATCTAATTGTAGTGTGTTCGCATGTAAAGAATTTACTAAAATTGAGATTGTTGTGTGATAGAACTGCAAAACTTGAGAGCTCCCTGCATAGATGAGAGCAATAAACTAAGATTTCAGAAGTGAGAGTGAAAAAACAGTGAGATTCATGGTTTCTCTCTGTGGTTACAATTAAGATGATGCAGATAGCTTGGAGAGTCCTAGAATTAAGGGTTACCTTCAAGCAAATCCACAGGTAGTACTTCCACTAACTTTTAGATAATAAGAGATAATAAACTTAAATATAGTATAAAATGAAAATAAATCAGCAATGTGGCGTGTTTGGCACTGTCAACAAAGATGTTTTTAACTTCTTGCATATGTAGAAAACCTGTGCTTGGGAAAGTTGTCCGTCATGGTGCAGTCTAAAAAATGATTTTTTGTGTTTGTAGGTTTTGGGTCGGATTAAGGTTTCAGCAACTGCTGTTTGTCCAGACTTCTGGTAGAGTTGCAACTGCGGAAGAGTTGATAGTTAACTCGAGGTTGTTTGTATGGGCTTACCACTCTGATTGCCAAGAAAGTTTGTTTAGTTCTATCATACCTAGTGAAGCATCTTGGAAAGAAATGCGAGCTTTGGGTATTGGCTTTTGGTTTGCCAATGTACCTCAACTGCGTTCTCAGGTAATATTTGGTCCTGTTCTTTTCTTCAATGTTCTCTTTGCTATATGGGGAAAATCAAATTTTAAATTTATTGATACAAGCTTTGAAACTAAATTTTTAAGTGTCTATTATTATGGTACTAGCTCACAAAGACATTGAAAGAAAATACGGTTTAGTTTCACTTCCTCAAGGCATCACTGACAGGATTTCTATATTTAATTAACTTATAAATTTTCACCTGCTCCATTGCAATTCTGTTATTTTTAATAGTTCTGAATATCTAATGTACACATCAAAGGCCAAGATCATCAGAAACAGTTCTAAATTCTGATACTTCCCTTTTACCCCCTTTAACTCCAGATGGAGAAACTGGCAAGGGCACAGTATTTGAAGAACAAAAATCCGAAGGACTGTGCACTACTATATATTGCACTAAATAGGACTCAAGTATTGGCTGGCCTTTTCAAAATTAGTAAGGATGAGAAAGACAAGCCTTTAGTGGGATTTCTCTCGCGCAATTTTCAGGTACTTAGTAATTTCTGTTAAGAACAGCTGCAATGACAGTAATCTTTTGAGTATCTTTTTGGTTGTCTGGGACTTTTGTCCCTTTCTTCTTCTTGTTCAGTAAAGCCAATAAGGGACTACTTATTAGATAGTAAGGAACCAAGCTACTTTTGTAATTTTTCTTTTTGTTAGTTTCTAATTTGGAGCCCTGTATCAATTTTATTTATGTATATCATATAAGTGTGAAACTTCCTTCTAAACATGCTCTTGTTTTATTATTGATACCCCAAAAAATTATCTCGGTAATCACAGTTAGTTGATAACAGGATGAGAAAAATAAGGCAGCTGCTTTAAAAAATGCTTATGTCTTATTGGGGAAGCATCAGCTGGAACTGGCTATTGCTTTCTTTTTGCTTGGAGGTGATCATTCTTCTGCTGTAAATATTTGTGCAAAGAACCTTGGGGATGAACAGCTTGCATTAGTTATTTGTCGACTTGTTGAGGGCCATGGCGGATCATTGGAGCGTCACCTGATATCAAATTATATACTTCCATCTGCAATTGAAAAGGGGGACTCCTGGCTTGCAAGCCTACTGGAGGTACCTAAAATAAAGAAATTTGATTAATATTTTTCATCATTAAAAGTTTTCTTTTATATTTTGCATCTATATTTGTTTTGTACATATTCCAACTACAGCTAGTTTTACATGATATGTAGTGGGAACTGGGTAATTACTATCAATCGTTTCGGAGAATGCTGGATGTTTCAATAAATCCTGAAGCTCAAGACCCCACTGTTTTCTCCAACTGTGATCCGTTTTTGGACCCAAATGTTGGCTTTTACTGCCAAATGCTTGCGACAAAGAATAGCATGAAGAATGCTGTAGGGGAGCAAAATTCAGCTATGCTTCTAAGATGGGCTACTCTTATGACAGCAGTTGCCTTAAACAGATGTGGTACTCCTGTAAGTTCATCCCAGAGACTTGATTTTTACCAGTTTAAACTAACATGTTAAAATTTCAGTCGCACGTCAAATGAGATTCAAGCTATGTTTGTCTTGCTCTGGTTGATATACAGCGTGTGTGCTCTTCCACAATGGTCCTCATTTGAGGAAGTCGTCACACTGTTCAATTCATTGAACCTGTTGTAGCCTTGCATGTGTTGCTGCTCGAACAAGTGGTTTATTAGTACTGATTGTATAAAAGCCAGTTTGTTATGTTCTATTTTTATAGATTCAATTCTTTCAAGAAGAAATTCTTTCTTTATCATTTTATTGTATGATTTTCATGCCTTTCTCAAGTGCATCCATGGATCTATCAGTTTAGTCAATCTAGAAAGCTTCTATAGTGAAGATGTCTTCTAGAGGCTCCTAGTGCCTGCCAAAAAACCAACCATCCTGGAAATTCTCAAAAGCATAAATTCCCACTTTTTGAAATATTTCAAACTTTCCATGTCTCATGTAAATCATTGAGACCCTTTGGTATCTGAGTTTAAATTTGATTGATCATGACTTTGTCATGCCTGAGGCCCTGAAATATTGTGTGTCAGTAGTGCCAATGCTATTAGTGGCATTATAACTTACATGTGTATGCTATTATGCTTCTGATTAGTAATTTTATGAAATGTGTTTCTTGTTTCAAGCTTGAAGCATTGGAGTGCTTCTCGTCTTCTCCAAGCACAGTCGAAACTGCAGATCAAGGGAGTGAGTTGGGTGCTGGAAATGAGGCGCTATTTAATATTTTTAATCCTTTGCCAAGAAAATCTGCTAACTGGCTATCTGCTGATGTGTCTGTGCATCTGGAATTTCATACTAAATTGAACTTGGCGCTTCAGTATTTATCAAAATTGACAAGAGAGCATCCAGGCTGGCCAGATAACATTGCAGGATGCAGTGGGGAATTGGCGTATTCTGACGAAAAAATTGTGCAGTATGATAAATCACTTGAAAATTTGAGGCAAAAATTGTATTCCGGGCTTGCTCTGTTTGAACAGAGGTTTTCATTGGCTCAATTCTGTTTACTAAGAATGGTATGTGATTCAACTTTATTCTTGACTAAACCTTATGGTTACTGTAAACTTTATTCTTCTTGGGAAGAGTCTTACCTTTCCTCCTATCCTGCAGATTTTACTCTCCCTTTGCCATCAAGGATTACTGAGCATAGGATATGATATAGCATGTGGTTTTGTTCCAGGAGATCAATCTCATAAGAATAGTGATACAGTTGGTGCTTCCGCATTGTATTCCTCCTGGCTTAGACCTCTCTTTAAGTCTACAATAGATATCTCCCATTTTTTTTCAAGATTCTTTTCTGCCTGCAGTATGGGTAACTCCCAACAAAGTATAACCTCTTTTGAGAACAATGTATGTATTGAAAATAAATTGAAGTTTTCAAGTGCTTGGCAGTCTCCCTTTGTCAAAAGTCTCCTGATTTCACTTTGGTATTTAAAAGCCATTTTGAAGATCCGGTTTGGTTCTTCTAGCAAAAATATTATGGACAAAATTGTTGGTATTCTTGATTTGTTTGAGTATTATTTGCTCTTTTCATTAGCTTGGCTTCAAAAGAACTTAGAAGCTGTTTTCTTAATGTTTCAACCTTTCTTGGTTGCACGTGTTGATGGCCACAACCCTTATGAGGTTGATATGTTGAATCTGAAGAAAGTCATCCCAAAAATTATGGAATTGGTGGCTCAACATTCTTTGAAAGACCATGCCTCAAAATGTGGGCAAGATATACAAGTTGTGAATGTAAAGCAGTTGATTCCTGATGATGAAAAATCGATGATTTTGGGGGCTTGCTTATGGCAGAAAATGTCTAGATTCATGATATATAAATTGAATATGATTCTGGATACACTTGAAGATGGTCATTTGCCTGGTTCTTTCCACAGAAAGTATGATTGTGAGGCATCAACTCTCCTGAGTATGGGTTCTGATGGTACCTACTTGCTGGAGCAGATGAGGTTGGTTTCATTGAGCTTATGTGAGTTACTGAAGACAACTGTTACACACACTTCCTCTTATCACACTAAACAACTAGCAGCATTTCTCTGGCAGAAATTGGAAAATGATCTGAGTACAATGACTCTTGAATGGTTAAAAAGACCTAGTTTGTCAGAATCTAATCAGGATCAAGGTCAAGGGATTATCAATTTGGAATTGGTGAATACAAAAGATAAGTACTTGGTTTATCAACTATTATGGGATCATTGTGCTGATCCAAAATTGATATCTGACTGCTTTGCTCATGAAAGACTTGATTGGTCAAATTATTTGGATCATGTGCCTGCTAAAGGATGGAATGACGTGTATATAAAATTGACAGAGCTACATAAAACTGATGATACACATGATTATGGATGTAAAGTTGGCAATAGTTCTTCTGGTCATGGAGTTGTATCACCTGTTAAAAGAGTATTTCAAGGTGCCCATGCTTCTGTAAGTTCCCACCAGAAAGATACGAGTAGTAAAAGCATTACAATTTTCCAGAGCCCTAGAGAAATATACAAGAGAAATGGGGAACTGTTTGAGGTGATTTTTTTCCCTGATCTTTCTGGGGCTTTTTTTTTATTTTTTATTGTCCACAATAATGTAGATCACAACATGACATGTTGCTACATTCGAGCAGGCATTGTGTATAAACTCCACTAATCAATGGGAAGCTGCACTTGCTACCAATAGGAAGGTTATTTCCTGCTCACTATTCTTTTTAGTTTCTTTATTTCCTCTGAAGCCCTAAATTTTAGATGTCCAATTGCATTTTTGTTGAATTTCATGCATCCTGGAATAATGTGCGGGAAATTTTATATATTTCCTTCTCATCTGAAGCTCGAATTTATATATATATAACTTATAATGAATAACATGTTATTATCTAACAGTTGTGAATGTTAGTGTGACCTGTAATGTAGTGTAAACTAACATGTTAAAAAATCTTATAATTATTTATCACAGGCATAAATGGACAGTGTTAATAAAATTTCATTTATATTATCATACTTGAAAAGTAACATGAATAGTCATCAACCGATTTCTTTTTCATTTTATTTTTAAAATTTATAAAGGAAGAAATTTTATCAGAGAATAAAGAGATGAAAGCATAATGTAGCATCAATGCATCGATACATTTGGAAGTCTGTGACACTGATTACCCATAAGTCATTTGAATTTTGAAGGCTTTAACTATTTTGTATATAGCATTAATGCATTTGGAAGTGTGTGAGACACAACGTCCTCCATGTAACTCGGAATGGGCAAGTCTAGTGCATTTGCACATTCGTGTAGGTTTTTGCATATCTTATTTTTGACTGATGTAGACTTAGGGGGCGTTTGGGAGGTCGGGGAAGCAAAAGTGCTTTCATGCAAGTCAAGACAAAACTCATTTCACATGCTTATCTCAAATTCCATAAAATAGCTTCTAAAACTATGGTTTGGTTTTTATCCCAATACCCCCATAATGGGAGATCCTATATAGTCAAGTGCCTGAGCTTTCAGTGATGTGGGCTTATATTTGCTTACTTATTTTTGCATGCCATGTGAACTCTCAGAACATTTTTAGCTGAAATCTTTTACAATATTAAATATATATTTTAAAAATAGTAGGTTCAACCAATTTAGTAATGATCCAATGACTGATTGTCTCAATGGTTCAATGTTTAGTCCAGTTCCAAAAACGTGCTAACAGCTTCCTCTAAGGTGAAAGGGCATGCCTAGAATTCTCAAAGAATTTCAACTGAATTACTTCATAACATTGTGGCAATTCAACAATGTGATAAAAGGGGGCTAGTTCCTCACAAGCCTTTTCCATATTTCCCCTGTGCTTTTGCGAGTCTGGAAAACTTCTTGTAAAGCAAGCCCGCTTCATCAACTTGGTGGTTAACGAATCAATTTTTTCTCAAATTTACTTGATATCTCTACATGCTTCTAGGAAATACCAGGCTTGCATATAATCATAAATAAGTACAGCCATAGTCAATCAATCATTAGGTTTAGTAATTTTTTAGTTTGAAAAATTGTGTGAATTACAAGATAACTAGGGTAAAATTCAGCTAGCATTTACTTGGGTAGGACCTCTCCTATAATACCATCACTGTGGGAGAGTTCAACCGCAGGATGTGTGTGGTTGCTCTATGCTTGGATGGGAGTGGGGTTCGAGAAGGAAATAGAAGCCATGGGCCCGAATGGCATTCAGGAATCAAGATGTCATGAGAACAATTGTCTCCTCTCAACGCTCTCTGGCTGCCGCAGATGTGCACCTGTAAACACGTGACCTATGGTGGTGATACTCATGAGTATGGATGCGGGTGTTATGAAACTCAAGCTGGATATATTAGAAACCTGTGTGTTTGTGTAGGTGGAGAATATTACAATGCAAACTGCCTCCTTTTTTGTTATAATTGGTGCTAGTATGCACTACGCATTCATTTGATTCTCTAATGCATCTAGTTGGAGAGAAAATGCAGGCATTTCCAGCAATTCTCGCATGCAATTTTTATGTTGAATTGTCCTGTGTTAGTGGCTTGCGTTTGGTGCTCAGTTTGTTTAACAGATATTTACTGTCTGATATACAGGAAATTGATCAATTTTATTTTGCATGATTTTTTTCTCATTTTTTGTTTATGTTTTTTGTTTGGGAGGTTATCTTATCCTCCCCCAGTTACTTTTTCCCCAGTGGAGATAATGATGATTATTGCAATGTTTATTTTACTTTGTCATTTAAAATTGCTGTAAGTTTACAAATGTATGTGGTCCTTCTCTTAAAATGATGTGAAACGTACATAATTGTCGTGTCTTTGTTTTTTCTTTTTAAATCTAATTCAGGGCATACTATTCTTTCATATGGATGGTGGGATACCTTCTGGTAATAAATCAGTTCATTTGTGGTCTGAGGCTGATTGGCCACAAAATGGGTGGGCAGGTTCAGAATCCACCCCAGCTCCAACGTGTGTTTCCCCTGGTGTTGGTCTTGGGAGCAAGAAAGGGGAACACCTTGGGCTGGGTGGAGCAACAGTTGGCGTGGGCCTTTCAGCAAGGCCTAGCAGAGACTTGACAGTTGGTGGAGCTTTTGGCATTCCCGGATATGCTGGAACTGGGGCTGCTAGATTAGGTTGGGAAATTCAAGAGGATTTTGAAGATTTAGTCGATCCACCAGCAACTGTGGAAAACATAAGTACAAGGGCGTTATCCAATCATCCATTGAGGCCACTCTTTTTGGTTGGTTCAAGCAATACACACATTTACCTGTGGGAGGTATGAAATATTGTGTTGATGTATTAATGTGGCTGAATCTGTATGTGCATGTGTTATCACAAGCAGGTGTGAATCTTTTTTGTCCTTTTTCCCCTCCTTAACTTTTTTCTATAAGGTTCCTAAATAGGGACTAGTACTTACCTTTTCCAAAATAGTAAGTTCGAAAACTAGGATTCAAAATTCATTTTCATTACAGCCTTAAATGTTCTTGCAACAGTATACTAAAGAAATAAAATGAAACTTCCATACCCCTAAATATTATTTTGTTCTGGACTCTTTCCTTTCCACAAGAAGTGTACCTCCTGTCCAGCCATAAGCCGAATACATATAGTATGATGCTCTAGGTCGTCCTTCTGACCGAGACATTGAAAAAAACTAACTGAACATCATAAATTCCCTCTCAGTGCTTGTGTATGGAGCACTTTGAAGCAGCTCTCCACACATAAAAGTTGTTCTTCGTGTGAAGTGTGCCAGTTATTCCCACTATGATATTTGGTATGCTTGAGATCCTATCATTAAAAAATGAAGGAAAAGAGGGGAATTTTTTTAAAATGGAAGGAAATCTATTTTTCTGTTGGTGCTAGAGGCATTCTGGCATACAGATACAATAATAGAACATGTAATTTCTGAATTACTCTGGTGCATTAAGCCAGTTGCATTTGTTATTAATATTCCTAGCATTTGGCTGATGGAGAATGCTCTAAATGCAGTTCAACAAGGATAAAGCTAAAGCTACATATGGAGTTCTGCCTGCTGCTAATGTGCCTCCACCTTATGCTTTAGCTTCTGTATCAGCTTTAAAGTTTGATCACTATGGACACCGGTTTGCAAGTGCAGCATTAGATGGAACCGTCTGTGCATGGCAGCTGGAGGTAGGAGGAAGGAGCAATGTTCGTCCAACAGAATCATCCCTCTGCTTCAATTGTCATGCATCGTATGTACTTTACTTTTGTGGAACTTCCATTTATAATTTTTGCCCCACTTGAAGCTGCATTTGGATTAGTAGGTTAATCGAGAATATGGATTGCACATCTTACGTAACCTTGTGAATAAAGTTACTCCTTTTATCCTTCAATATCCAATATATATGATGAAAACTTTCCAAGTCTGCTTTCTTTATGTAATGCTTTTCTGTCTCAGCTTTAAAACTCTGAGCCATGATTATAGTAGTGTTAGTTATCAAATATGTTGATTGAAACCGAGGGATGACAACAAATTCAGGACTTGTATTGTCATCGGAAATGGGATTAATGATAAATTTTCGTTCACAACTATGAATGTGATGAATAACCTCTTAATTCCTCTTTTGTAAGTTTAAGGTGCGTCAAGTTTGCCAGTTCTTCTGTCAGAAGGTTTCCCTTTCTCTTTACTTAAGCTTAAGTTCTATTCCGTGTGTATTTTCAGGGATGTAACTTACTTTCCTTCAAGTGGATCAATAATAGCTGTGTCTGGATATAGCTCAAACAATTTCAATGTGGTTATATGGGATACTCTTGCTCCTGCAACAACCTCTCGAGCTTCAATTTTATGTCATGAAGGTTTTGCTCGAATTTTTTTGTTACTAAACTCTTATAGTCTTATATGTGTTAATTTTCACAGTTTAACTTCCATAAATCTTAATAAAAATGGTTAAGCATGCAAATATGTAGAGTCATAACACTTTAACTAATGAACTGATCATGTTCTTTATAGCTGTATTTTGTTGATATGCTGCAAATCTTTAGCCCTGAGGTAAATCTTAGTCATAAACTTGGATGGGCCCTGAACTTGGCTTACCTCTGAATGTGACTAATATTTCTTTCTTTCTTTTTTTGGGGGTCTTGAGGGGTAGCAACGGTCTTTTTGTCAGTGTGGATGCAAAGAATTACTGACTTGAGATTAGTTGTTTTATTTCATGTATAAGGATTAGCTTGTGTGTATTTATGGTGCTGACTTTGCTCTTTCCTGTGAAGGTGGTGCTCGCTCCCTTTCTGTATTAGATAATGACGTGGGAAGTGGTTCTATTTCCCCTCTTATTGTGACTGGTGGTAAAAATGGTGACGTTGGAATTCATGACTTCCGTTATATAGCTACTGGAAAAGCTAAAAGGCACAGATATGCTGATAATGGCGAACAAAGCACCCCCAGGTCCTTGAATTCTGACAGGGACAAGAATGTAAATGGGATGCTTTGGTATATTCCGAAGGCTCACTCAGGTAAAGATGAGTTTCTATGCCCCTATAGTTATGTTTTTTTTCTTCAATCTAATCATCTGGCTAACTTTTCCAATTACAGGGAGCATCACAAAAATAGCTGCCATCCCAAATACCAGCTTGTTTTTGACTGGAAGTAAGGATGGAGATGTCAAACTCTGGGATGTCAAGAGCACTCAGTTAGTCTGTCAGTGGTCAAAATTACATGAAAAGCACACCTTCCTGCAGCCAAGCTCTCGTGGATTTGGTGGTGTTGTTCGGGTAATGATTTGCTTTTGCATAAAAGTATATGTTATATCATTTTTCCCTTGAACCTCCGTTTTTTCGACTCGATACGCTGACCAAACCGTTTGTTCTTGGATGTTACGGGCACCATACCATTAGAGAGCCTGGTGGCTGTGAGAATCATAATTCATAGCTGCTTCAGAGCTGTTTCCTTTGGTGATTGTCAAACTTAGCACATTTCTTTAATAAAAGTGCCTCTGGCTATATAAATTGTGCCAAGCATCGATTTTAATTAAACCAAGAAAAAAGTGGTACTTTGCAGATAAAAGTACTCTATTCTAGGGACAAAAAGGGTTGGTTCAATTATTATTAAGATTAAACTTTGTAAACAAAAAAATGTCCTAGGTTCAATTTTTTCCGATGGTCCTTGGAATTAGGTATCCACTAATTGTATTATGTTGAAGGAAAGTGTAAGAAGCAGGAAATTTCACCAGACAACCAGAATAGAGTACAAGTTCGGGTGTATATACTTTACTAACCTCTACTTCAGCTCAGCCACACTAATCAACTGAACACTTAGGAACACTTGCCAGAAACACTTGCACTAGCAACTCTCAGCACATAATATCTTTGGTTGGAGCTAAAACAATCCATTATCTTGCAAATTTTAGTCATCGTGTTTTGCGCCTCCTTCAAATTTCTTCCAATAAAATTAAGTTTCTTGATTACATGCTTGCAATAATAAGGCTTTTTGCTTGTAATGCTACAGGCGGCTGTTACAGATATCCAAGTCGTTTCTCATGGTTTCCTTTCGTGTGGTGGGGATGGAACTGTAAAGTTGGTGCCCTTGAATAGGAACATGCTTCGTCATGAAGTCAAATTATGATATTTCTGAGGCACATGCTCCCACGCTGCAAATCTATTCCACAAAGGTATCATCAACGAGAAGTTTCTAAACTTTTATGGATAACTGACTCAATCTCTTGGCATTAAATTCTGCCATTTTTGCATGAAGGAATTCTCCAGTATATTCAGAACTTCAGAGACCAAAGATGCGTTAGCTCCTACAGAAAGAGGAAGTAGTCCTTAACTTGGACGAGCATTGGATCATGTATCATGAACTTCTCATCTATGTGAACGCATTGCTTCTTTGAACAGAATATACATTGATTTTGACTTCAGTCCCTCCTTTCTGAGAAAAACCGGAGTTCTCTCAACGTAAGGAAACCCCGAGCCTGACGAGATTTTGAGGGAACGCTGGTGTTTTTGTTGTTGGTTTTGGTTGACATTGTTAAGGGAGCTCATACGTAGAAAGAAACAGAATTCTAGTTTGGCCTTTTGACTATTAGGCTTCTTAATTGACTAGGTTTTATGTACATTTGTACTCATGCCTTACGATCCATATATAGAAGGGAATTCTTTCATTTGCTTCAAGTTATAGTATTTGATTATATACTCTTAATTCTTTGAAAGTGAGGGGGTGGAATTCCAGATGGTGACACTGATCGATGCATAAGCTTTATAGTAAGTTTGCTCTTCTCCCTAGCTGAGCGCAGTGTTCCTTCTAAAACATTTTTCTTTATCTTTGGTTATCTTAAAGTAAACTTCCTTGTACATTTTGCATCTTAGCATCATTGGTTTCTTACAGATTGAACCTTTTCCAATTATTTACCCCGAGAAAGTGAGATGAAAGCATGAATATGAAATTTTTTTTTTCTCCCCTGTATTGTTTCTTTTAACTTTTCTTCAGATGCATTGTAAGAGGAATCGTAGCTAAGCTATTTCCGATAACAAAATGATAAAATAAAAAAAAAATTGAGTAAGATAAGCAGTGTTAGATTGTATTTGAAATTCTAGTAATTTTAAAAGTTTTACTGATATCGATTAGTCAGGTAAAAATTGAATTCTTTTTATACAATTACTTGATATCAAGCAAGAACTCGTTGAATTAGTATCATAAAGAAAAGAAGGGTTAAATAACTTGTTTTTGCGAGGAAAATTGAGTTAACTAGCAACCCTAATGGGTCATATCTTGTACTTAGGCAAGGATTTAGTTTTAGTTTCTTGCGAAGAAAATATACATTTGGCATAATGACATTGCCAGCTAGCATTTTTTTTTTTTCCAAAACTCTTTCTATCAACTGCTTATGTTGGGAACTTTTTTATTACAAATTTAATTTTTAATATAAATAATTAAACGTGTTATTTTAAGAAATCAACACATATTTTTTACAAATAACTAATTTTATGAATGTTTTTATCTCTACAAATTAATTAACTCTTTAAAATCAAAACAGGTATTCATTTGCTTGCTTCGCTGCCAAAACAAAATGCGGAACCTTTTCATATTTGAAATCATTTTTGTGCATGCATATTCCATCATTGCGGTTGAGCATTAAGTTGACAAGATTTGACACCTAATCATGTTTTATATGAATCTTACCAATTAAATTTATTGTGGGAAACTCACCAAGTAAACTTATATGTTGTGTGCAGCACTTATTAGGACTAATGTCTTGGACTTATTTGGAACGGCGATTGTAGTTTTTAAAAGCAACATTTAAATCATGATTTATGAAATACAAAATAAACCTATAAAAAGAATTTATCTCAACTTATATGAAAGTGTTTATACGCACTTAATAAAAACATAAACATTGGATTATACATATCCAAGGCTTTCTCTAACCTTAAGCTCTGCCGCTATAAATGTAAGGGTGAATTTTATTTAACCCGTTTTTTTTAATAAAAATACTACTCCTCCGGTCCTAAATGTAAGACCCTTATACTAGAGTATATAAGGGTCTTATATTTAGGACCGGAGGAGTATTAAATAGAAATACTAATAAAAATTATGTGTAATTTTAAAACATTTGAATAGATACCGAATTTACCAAGTTTATCCATGCATTATTGTCCTATCGCAATTCGTGGGAAAAAAATATGAAATTCTTTAGTCTTTTTTTTTTTTAACCAGCAAAATTCTTTAGTCTATTAAGTCCTTCATAATAAATATTTTCAATTTATGAACTTTCATGATGATTAAAAGAAAGAATATACTACCTCATGTCCTTAATATAAGAGCTCATTTAATTTTTATTTTGATTCTAAATATAAGAAATCAATCTACTTATTTTTTTTATATTTATTCTTTTTTTTAAGTAGTCCTTGTAATAATAGTAGTTCTAACTAATATATTTAATTAGCAAAAATATTTTAAGAAAGACAATACCTATTTATTATAAATAACTAATTTTTTATATACTTAAATTAGTTAATTAATTTTTATGTTAATAAGAGAAGCTAGTAATTAATAATTAATAATAAATATAAATGATAAAATGACAAAGCGGCCGAAGTGGTGGTTGGGAGCATGGGATTTTCCTATGTGCTCCTTCCCTTGCATATATGATGTCTTCCCTTACATATGACATCTCTCTTCCATCCACCAAGAGTTGAAGTCTTATCTCCTCACAATTACGTGGACGATCACTCTACCGTTCATCCCGGCTACTCTTGCTACACGTCGAAAATCTGACGGATCAGCAATCTCGAGTGACCTCAAATATTCCATCTCTATTACTGTGGACCCTACCGCTGCCAAGAATTGCTCACCTATTTGACAAAGACTTGGGAGGATTTGACGAGATCATGACTCAGTCTCGTACTACATACTCTTTGGATTCTTAATATAATATTTATTTAATTAATTTGATTAGATTAAGAAAGTTAGATAAGTTAGTTAGTTATAAAAATATGACATGTATTTCCTAAAACATCATAATAATCTTTCTTAATACTTTCCGGTCCTTAATATAGGACCTAATTGTTGAATTGGTTTTGATCCTAAATATAAAACATATTTATTATATTTATTAATTTTCTCTAAATTACCTCTATGGATACTCCCTCAACCATAATCAAGTAGAAAAGGAAGAAAGGGTATTAAGAAAGATGATTATGGTATTTTAGGAAAAACGTGTCACATTTCTTATAATTAACTAACTTACCTAACTTCCTTAATTTAATCAAATTAGTTAAATGGGTTTTATATTAAGGACCGGAGGAGTATCCTCTTTCCCTCTTCTACTTGATTATGGTTGAGGGAATATCCATAGGGTTAATTTAGAAAAAAATTAATAAATATAAGAAATATGTCTTATATTTAGGACTAAAGTCAATTCAATAATTAGGTCTTATATTAAGGACCGGAAGAGTAACTCGAAAGTATGATTATGAAATCGTTATAATTAATAAATTAATCAAAATAATACTACTTGTACAAAATGTTTTTGAAAAACAACTAATTTTTTTTCCTGACCCTATCATTTAAAAAATTAAAATATTCAATTAAAAATAAATTTAAATTAATTAACCTAAATGTTACTTAAAAATTAACACATGCAGCTAAAGAACTAAAGAAAACATCTCATTCGATGAGTAATTATCGATCGAGAGAACGAAAGATGATTAGATTTTTGGAATTAGTGCGTTTTTAATTTTTGATGTCAATTTCAAAAGCAAAAAGTCCAGTTTATGGACGAAAAATTGATATGCAATAAATTTGTTCTTTTATATAATATGTTGGGATTTTTTCCACTAGTCATATCTTCACCTTAATTTTAATACTAAATTGTTAAATTGCCTTATTTTCAAAAATTAATTATGACGCTTATTATTATTAATTCTAAAAATTGCAATAACTGTAACATGTATTATCATGTCAGTCTGTGCTGGGGAAGGAGGCTTTAAACGGCGTCGTCGCATTTCTAAACTGAAAACTGTCACTGGACTGGAGCAAAAGGCTGCCCCCGGAAACCGACAGCGTCGGATGATAACGAGAAAACAAAGGCACAACAGCTGTGGTCTTTGACAAGCTTCATTTGCTATTTTCCTCTGATTCTTTTAGATCCCAATTCCATATTCTCCATCTTCTTTAATTGCTTCTCTTCAGCTTGATCTAGGACTATCCAATTGCATGTCTTCCCGAATTTCATTCCACTTTGCCACCATTTCCTTTTCTGGTTCGTTCTTACAACCCTTCTTTCTCTTCCTATATTTTGTTATTCACTTTTTATCGAAGGATTGTAACACTAAGCGTCTTTGTAGTGATTATTTGAGTAAATGGCGGGTATTTGTCATGTATATTTGGGCTTGTTTGAGTGATTATGATGTTCTCGGAGATTGCAATTTTTGGGTGATTTTGTGTTCTCTTGTTCTGTATTTGTTTCCTATTTTCTTTGGCTGTTGCTTTAATTTTCATGCATGTTATGAATATTGGTCCTGGCGTTGACCCTTTTGATCAGATTTGATCAAATCATTAAGTGGGGCATCAGGTTTCGCCCTGAAGTGGATTATGCTACTTCTATGTTATTTATTCTCTGATCGTTTCACTGAGTGATGTGTGAAAGGTGAAGCACTTTTTTTCTTGCTGTGGGCTTTTACATTGTCTTTTCCAGATGATCTCGATTTTCTGTTTTTAATATTTTCCTGCATCTCGTGTTTGATAATCAACTCTAGCCGGAGAAAATATTATTATTTATGAAAGATCTTAAATAGTTTTCTGATTTGTGTCAAACTCAGTGCAAGCATTCATCTCATGTTACTCTGAAAGATATTTTACTGGCAAGAGTTATCGTGGTGCAGGAGCAATTTATTGTCATTGCTGCTTATGCATCATTATATTATGTCGTTGATCTGTTTAAATGACCGCTAGAACTTATAAACTATCATGTTCTCGGTGTTCTGAAATGTCAGTATTTGCTAGGATATTTATTCCACAATGGCATATCTTCCCTTTCATTCTACATTATAGTTGAATCTTGCCTTTTCTATTTATTTTGCCCCATAGTATTTTTAACAAAAATGCATATGATGGTCAATTGATTTCACATTCTTCTGAGTGATTTTGAGGTGTACACCTTTTTGTACAAAATATTTAGATCCTTACGTTATTCAACTTTTATCCCTTTTTTCCTGTTTTACACAGAATCTATGAAGAAATAATAGGTAAGGGAGATGGCGGCAGCAGAAGCAAGGGCTCTGTGGCAGCGAACTGCTAATCGATGCTTTGTTCAAGAAGATGCTAAAAGGGCTCCCAAGTTAGCATGTTGCCAATCTTCATGTGCAACATCAAAATCAGTTGATGCTGGACCTGCCAGTGCAGCTGATGAATCAAATCAGGTTAATGTTAATGCCATGCCTTTTAACAGAAAATCTTCATTTTCCAATGTATCGCCTGACTCAAGGTGGTGGTTGCATTCACAACCTAATTACGGGTATCAAAAGAGCTCAACATATGAAAACTTAAATTCATCATTAATGGATGAACTGGAAACCTTGAAAACTCTTGATAAAGGAGAAGTTACTCAATTTGGTGATGAGAGCCATGATTCATCTCATTATATGCACTGTGACTTCCAGACCAATGATATGAAGAAAGTTCTCAAGAACAAAATGCAAGATGCTTATAGTAAGAATTCTGAAGAATATTCTGAATTATCAGATATGATGAGTAAATATGAGACAGTAGAGATGGATCCTGTTAGCTGCTCGGTGTCCAAGAAAACAAGTGATTCCTGCTTGGGTTCGGACTACTCTTGGATTGAAGGTGACAGGACTGAGCCTTGGTGGCGGACTACAGATAGAGATGAACTAGCTTTCTTTGTTTCTCAGAAATCTCTAAACCATTTTGAGAATTGTGACCTCCCTCCACCTCAGAAGAAGTATCTTAGAAGCCACCCATGTGTTAATGCTAATGATCACAAAACCAAGACAACATCTTTTGACTGGGAAGCCAAATCAAGGGACTTCTCCAATTTGTCTGTTCACGCGCAAGAATGTTTGAATCCTAATCTAATGCATGGCAAACAGGGACCTTCGGCCAAAGAAGAAATTTTGCACTCTGCTTCCAACAAATCTTCTAGGTATTTTCCTTTGAATATTTTAGGATTGATTGTGCTGTTTTGCAATTTGCATAGGTTCAACTTTTCATGGCTTTTTTCACCCAATCTCATGGATTCCAGAAAATTAATTTAGCCGGATGAGTGAGTGAGACTTGTTTAAATTATGTAATTTTTCGTCTGTTGGATTGTGGATGTGTTCTTGGTTTGGTACATGCTATCCTTAGTGTCTTTTTAAATTCATGTGTCTGAAATTTGTGACAGCACTACTGCAATCCAAGATAATATCATGGAGGAGCAACAAGTTCCTGGGGGAGATCCAAGCAGAGCTGAACTTATGGAAGCACTATGTCACTCTCAAAAACGTGCAAGGGAAGCCGAAGAGGCGGCAAGGCAAGCTTATGCTGAAAAGGAGGACCTTGTTAAGCTTTTTTTCAAACAGGCCTCGCAGATTTTTGCATATAAGCAATGGCTTCAACTGTTGCAGCTGGAAACTCTGTATTTTCAGGTGAATAAAGTAAATAGTAAGGATCAGCTGATCTCCACTCTCTTCCCCATGGCGCTTTCTTCGATGTCAAGGAAACCACGGAAGAGAAAGCAGAACTTTGTTACAGACAGTCAAGAAATGCAAGACCAGGCAAAACCTGATATTACAACATACGCTGTTGCATTTGCCTTAGGATTAAGTCTTGTTGGGGCTGGAATACTTCTAGGATGGACTGTCGGTTGGATGTTACCTCGTTTATAGTTTTCTTTTTCCCCTTTTAAGGCTTGGTACATAGTCCTTCTTGCCACGAACATTGGTGGCAAACGAGGGTATTGGTTAACAGATTGTGTATTTACTTTTGTAGACTTGTGAGTCCTAATGTAAATTCTGTTGCTGTGTTTTTGTGTAATGAATGGGTCAATGAGATGATGTACATAGATCTTTCTTGAGTGAAGTTCGTGTGGAACAGCTTTTCTTGGTCATTGGTTTTAGATTCCTAAAACAAGCATTTTTTTTTTTTTGACCTGATAAAACAAGCAAATTAGATTATCCACTTTAGCTCACTTGTACGGAAAAATAAAAAGTGAGTAACATAAAAGAACAATTTTGTGAATGTATTGATGCATTTATTTTATGATCGAATTTAGTGTTGACAATTAAAAACCTGACTTGGTCCTCAATTAAAAAAAAAAAAAAGAATAAAAACCTGTCGTATGAGGCAGAAGCCATGAGTTAAAACTATACAATTATAAGGATAATTAGGTTCGCTCATTCATTCAGAGAAAAGAAAAGGACAATTAGGTAACCCTGAACTTTTTTGTATCTCATTTCTGTTGAATGGAGTTACACTTTCCAATAAAGGAAGTATATTCAATTATACTTACATCATTTTACCTAGCTTTGCAACTGTGCAATTTTTCTAAAGATATACTACCTCCAGTCCTAATTATAAGAGTCAGTTGACTAATTTAAAAAAATTAATAAAGTAAGTTAAGTTAGTTATTTGTAATAAATAAGTGTTGTCATTTCTAAAATATCCTTGCTAATTAAGTGTATTAGCTAGAATTATCATTATTATAAGGACTATCTTGAAAAAAAATACATAAATATAAGAGACAAAATGAATTGAGATCTTATAATTAGAACCAAACTAAAAGTCAAACGGAATCTTATATTAAGGACGGGAGATAGTATCTACAAATATAGCTCTAGGAGGCTAATTAGAAAAATACAAAGGAAAAAACACCCCCAAAAAATCTCAAAAATTAAAAACTGAAAAGCCCTCCCCAAGAAAACAGAACGGAGTGAGTGACAGAGAACTACATCGTCTCACAAGAAGAGAGGCATAGGAGGCCAAAATGGCTGTCATGGAGAGATTGAAGATGTTCGTCGTTCAGGAACCAGTGGTCGCAGCTTCCTGCCTCATCGCTGGCTTTGGTATGTTTCAACCTCTTTGCATATCAGTGAAAACCCTAATCTTCGAATCTTATTCCCCTCTAAAATTCTAACCCTCGCCGTTCTGGAGCTGAGCGATTTATTCTTTTAATTTTTCTCTGTCTCAGATTGTGGTCTCTATTTCTGTTTGATTTGACAAGAATCTGGATTTATCTGATAAATTTCAGCTGTTTTTAACGATTCACCTGGGTTTTAAATAAATAATTTTATAGTTAAACGGTGGAGCTTTTATGTTCAACCTTTCCTGGGCAATGGCTTGTGACATTAGGATTGTTGGATCTTACAGAAAGGATTTATTAAAATTGAATCTTGGTTCAGCATCGAGAAGGATACTTCAAGAGAAATATGATTCATAAAAGGAATCTGGACTATGTAGGTTGAATTGAAATGGTTCTCCCCCGGTTGAAATATCTGCCTCATCCAACGCCTAATCCTCTGCTTATATTTAAAAATGCCTTTTCTTTGAGATGCCCAAGTTCCAAACCTGTGGATGTTTGCCTAACATTTTCATGCTACATCATGCTGGCTCATGAAGCAAGTTGTCTATATTGTGGATTGTGCCGTAACAAAACAATTCGAATTCGAAAATTAAATGAATATGGTGGTTTGTGACAATGGATTATTGGAGTGTCGTTTACCTCTTCATTCTTTCCCTTTTTTTTTCTTAGGAGGAGGGGGTGTAATGAAATGTGCCTTTATCTCTTTGTTCTTTATGGTGTTGTACCGTCAAAGAATCTACACGGAAACATAGATTTGGCATTCCACATTCCAGTGACCTTCATTAGTTACGTTGAATGTTTCTCTTAACTTTTTAATAAAATTTTTCATTAAAAAATGATGCCCAGAGAAGGATTTTTGTCTGTCTGGCATGCATGAGGGGTACTAATTTTATGCAAGCAAGGGTCGACTTGTGACATGTTACTTGGTATCTTAATCAATACACTCTGACAAAAAGAAATGGGAGGTTATGAGCATTGTAGTAACAAGTGCATTTTTTAAAACATTATTGCAAGTGGCTCATAATCTGCATCAGAGAAAGGTTCAGTATTAAAACCAGGCTCAAGCGATCCCAAGGTTAGCTTTGCAATGTTCAGTTCACAGCAGATGGAAATAGTTCTTTGTTCTTTCAGCCTGGGATTCAGTCTAAGTTCATGATTCTCACTGGTCACCCTGTCTGGGTAAAGGCTGAAGTTCAAGTTAGCGGGCTGTTTACCTTTGATTACTTATATTCTTCTCTTGATATTCTTTAAAATTTTCTCCTTTAGCACAAAAAATTAGATGCGATTTGCTATCCGTATTTTTATGAAATTACTCATTCTCTACTGACAGTTTATTAACTTGCTATGCCGTTTAAAATTGTCAGGCCTATTCCTTCCAGCTGTTGTGAGGCCAATGCTGGATTCCTATCAAGCTTCCAAGCAACCCCCCCAACCTGCTTTAAGTGATGTGAGTGATTTAGTTGTTACTAACCTGTAATATCGTTTATTTCGTCAAAACTGTTATGTTGATGCTAATTTCTGTTGCCTGATTACATACTAAATATGTACTTGGTTATTTCACTGAAATACAACATTTGTTGACTCTGTTGTTTGGTGGGAGAATGACTATGCTATTCCCTGCTCAACTTGTAACTAGAGCTATCAATAGGAAGGTTGCAGTCTGGCATTTTAGGGCCACCTCCATGTTCCACTTCCCTCGACTTTATTAGTTCACACAGAGCACTGCCTTGTCACTGATGCCACCGATAGATGGCAACCAACCATGACCATGAGTTAGCATTTGCTTTTTCTTCCCTTTCATCTGACGGTTTTCATCTGATATTGATGCCTTGCATGTTGCAGGTGGTCGCAGGTATGACTGGTAAAAAGCAAGGGTGATCCACTCGCGGGCAGGTTTTCTAACTACTTTCCTGTTCGAACTCATTTTTCATAGAGTGGGATGGAGAGAATAAGACAACTATATTATCCATGAATTGAAAGCATTCCATTGTGAACATATTCCTGTTTTTACAAGCATTTTCAGCGGTTTCCCTGTCACTGGTTTTAGTTTAGGGGATGAATTGAATATCGATCAGCTTATTTGCCTCAATAATATTGCGTCTTATTTAGCCAGCACGGTTTCTGACCCCTTTTTTACCAATTCCATGGCGCCAACGTGAGGGATACTTTTACGTTTAATTCCTTATGGAGTGGATTTTAGGAAGATATAATGGTTTGTTCGGTTTAATTTTTGGAAGCCAAAAACTTGGGTCAGCAACCCAAAAGCTGATTGGAGGCCTATTTTTTCTTGTTTGGAAAGAAGTTAACCCAAACGACTTTGGGTCCCAAAACATTAGTCTAAGTTTGAAGCTACTTTGGTTTGGCCCAAAAAAGAAAGTTTGAAGCTACTTTTTCTTGGTTTTCTTCTCTACATGCAAAACTGATTTTTTGAAAAAGGAGTATCCAAACACGTATCACGTTATTTTAGTCATCCTTTTACGGAAAGTTAGTCTTTCGAGCACGCCCACTTATAGGATTGGTAGGGATATTCTCATTTTACTAATGGGATGTTTGGAAGGAAAGTAAACTATAATTTTAAAAGTGATTTTACGATATATGAAATAAATATGTGAAGAAGTTTATTTGATTCGTGAAAGATGTTTTTAGAAAGTATTTTTGGATATAACCAAACACTCCCTGAGGGCCGCTTGATGGGTAGAAAATCCAGCGATGAAAAAGGAAATAATCTTCATGGCCCTCGTGTTGCACGTCTGGTTGCCATACCCGTGATTCCTGTGGCAGTCCATTTTCCTTTAAACATGGAAACGTGGCTCGCAAAACTGCCTTTGTTCCTGAGCGGCAAAGTCATGTGAAAGGACGAAAGCGCCTGTGTTCCTTCTTCCTCCGCCGATCGTGCAAGCTTCATCGGTGACAAGTTCCCTCTTGTCTCTGCTCAGACAATGGGCGTGTTTTGGAGTGGTAGGGTTTATGCGCATCGTGGCTAGTTTCAAGTGGTTGTTGAGTCAGCATTCACGGTTCACCACAGATGTGGAGGTGATGAGAAACAATGGCAAGATATGTATTTAATCTTTTAAGCAAAAATCCCTCAAAAAAACTTGAAAATTACTAAATCTCAAATTAGGATTATTAGGATTGTTTCATAAACTTTAACAGATTTTAATTACACTTAATTTACAAATAATAATATACTTTTATCGATTTCTTAATCTAAAACTAAAATTTAGTAATTTCTAAGTTTTCTGTGGCATTTCTCTATCTTATAATCTTAAAAACAATGATTTTTTTTTTTTAGCAATCATTATTTTGTAAGATTAAACTTAATATGTTCCCAGGCCCCACAAAAAAAAAAAACTTAAATATGTTGTTTCCTCAACAATTATAGTTTTAATGGTCAATTTTTGGTTGATGATGTTCAGGTTAAAGGAGTTAAGAAAAGAAGCATCTTATGAAATTAAAGAATCAAAGATGAAACTTTATCTAAAATTAAACGATTAAAGGTATATTTTTGCCAATCTGTTTTCTTAAGGATACCTTGTAATTAGATTGGTTGGAAAGTTAGGACTTAATCGGGGCGTACATTGCCGTCAAGCTGGATAGCCGAAACCACACAAGCAGCCATATACATACATACTGACTCATGATGAAAAATATGGCACAGACTAAAGAACTACACATACGCTCTGCTCATGAGAAATAAATAAATAAAACTACAAATACAGTGAGGGATACATCCTCCCCTCATTTAGAATTGAGTTGGATGTGACCATGAAAGCTGGTATGCTTCGTTAGAGGCTCAGTGCATACTCATCTTTCTTCAGTGCCTTGCTCCTCCGTACCCCCATCTGCTTCAACCCCTCCCATATTCTTCTCTGCAACATTCAGTCACCCCAGAGTTAAATCTTCCAACATCAAATTAAATAATCTTATTCACCATCACCCAAATCCATTAAACTTTATATATTCAAATAATAGATTTGGTCCGCTTATCCAACCATAACATACTAGAATTTTCAGCTCTACCAAATCCAAATTGATCGGGCAAAAAAAAAAACAATGCTTTATAAAGATGACCACTATTACCCAGAGGCCAGAGCGTTTCGTCTTCCCTCTGTTCTTCCGAGTGCCTCCAATGGCATCCACATCACTAGTCTCTCTGTTATCAGCGCCGCATGATGGGAACACATAACTACCGCCACTCACCTCTCTCTTCTTCATCCTCCAAGAACCAAACCACCGTTGTTTCGCCCCGAACCCGACCCACCTCCTGCTCCGAACCACAGCGCGGACCGGAATCCGGCCTCTGTCAGCACGGAAAGAACCATAGCAATCGGGACCCGCTCTCCAAGAGGGAGAGCGAAATCTGTTGCTGCTGCCTAACCCGCGAGGAGGATTCTCTACAGTGAGGAGCCTGGGAGGGAGTTCTAAGGATTTTGGGGACAAGGCCGTAGTGGAGAGGGAAGAGCTGGAGAAGGGGACGATGGCGGTGGAGTGTTTGGGCTTTCCAGGCTCTTTTTCCCATCGGAACGGAACGGCCGCCGCGGCGGAGTGGAGGGGAGAAGTGACGGTGCCGGAGGGTTCCGGAGACGGCGGTGTTGAGACGGAGGAGGAGGAGAAGAGAATTAAGGGGAGAACAGGGATACTGGTGGTGGAGCTCTGCTCTGCTGCTTCTGCTTCGGAATCCATCGCTGTCTCTCTGCGAGCATGCGTCTAGTTTAGCCTTTTAGGCTGGTTTGTCTGTACTCCCTCCCGCTTTTTATTCTGTTCATTTTATTTTTTTGAAAATGGCCAATGAATAATGATAGTAAAATAAGATAACAAATGTTTTTACAGATAAATATTTTTACACCCCTAACTTTAAAAATTAATATTTGTAAATACTTTATGATTAATTACTTAATTGATTTTGTTTTATATAACACTCATATTGTATATGTAGTTAGATTTATGGAGGATCTGCTTTTATTATATATGTTAAATAGGATTTGTTTATCAAATATTACTCCGGTTTTAAATATAAAACTCATTTTGTAGTGTCACGATAAAATAAGTTTTATATTTAGGATCAGAGAAGTACAACTTATTCCTATGACCGGTAGGAATTGTTGGTTACAATAGAATCAATATGTATATATATGTAACTAAATTATTTGAGCACAGTAAATACATTTTCAATTTAGCAGCACTTAATCCGAGAGTTGAAAATGAAACGAAAGGAATCATGTGAAAAGTAAAAAGGCGCCAACAGCTCATTATTTGATGGTCACTGTGAATTGGCAGCTTGCGACGTGGTGGTTGCCTGATGGGAGGAACATAGTGGCCGAAAATGAAAATGGTGGGAATAAAATATAAAGAAAAGCTTTGTTGACCGACAAAACAGTTAAAAGCTTAAAAACATAAAAATCACGCTTATTAGTTATTTCACTTGATCACGACACCCACTTTCAAGTGTTGAATTAATATATCAACATGATGGCTGAAAAATTAGAAAGAAAGCGTCGGTGAGATGAAGGCAAATCCAAACAAAATTGAAACCTAAAGTCCATTCACTTTGCTCCTCACAGTTGTCAACTTTACCACATCAATCCTCATCACGGCTTACAAACAATCATTACACCTTACAAACCCAATTCATATGTATGCAATATTTAACAAATTAATATATTATATTGACAAATGTGGAAAAAAAAAAAGCAGGTCATAAAATAAAGGGTAAGCAAGATCGACCTTACCCATTTTCATTTCCCTCCCTATCTTTTTTTTTTTTAAAAATCAGAAAATGTTACATCATTTATTGGGCTTCTTTTAGATTTGGGGGTGTTTGGATATAAATCAAATCATAGTTTCAGAAGTGCTTTTACGGATTACGAAGTAAATATGTGAAGGAGATTATCTCGTTTTGTAAAAAAGTACTTCTGAAACCACGGTTTTGAGAATGCCAAACACCCCCTTGTTTGATTCATTTTTCTATTTGCCGCGTGAAAATCAGAGCTAAAATTTTGGAAGAAAAATAAAAGCCCCAGAATAGAAATGGATGGACTGAAACTAATGGAACTGAATCAAAACTCGAAGCAAAGACGAAGAGGACGAAGAAGATAGAAAGCAAAAAGTGTAGTGTGAGAGAGGGGAGGGATCTTGTGGTGTGAAATCTATTCTGCGGCGACGAAAAGAGCCGCAATGAAAAGACACGTGTCGCCTTGTAATAGTTGTGGACATGAGTCCATTTTCCGGCCCGATATTGAAGGGCTCGACTAACTTTAAATGGGCCTCTCCTCATGATTTGGGCCAACTTTGTTTCGATGCTTTCCCTTCCCGCTTTACGGGCTGCATTATCGGCAAAATGGGCCTTTCCAAATAGGTTTTTTCCAGAAAAAACAAAAAGCCCTCTCCACCAAGTCCCGTGCCCATATTTTTGGAAACGGGTATTCCTCCAGAACCAGTTTTGTGCTTATCATTAATTTATACCATTTAAGTACAATTTTAATGACCAAGTTTTAAAATTTTTAACTACTAATTTTTTAATAAAAAATATTTTTTGAAAAAAATTACAGTTAAGAAATTTTATTTATTTTGGATTATGTATATATTAAATAAAAGCATTTTTCAAAAAAAAAAATTTAAAATTTAAATCTTGGCAGTTCATAATAAATTTTAACAGTTAAAACTTGATAAGCATCATGATACTCATCATTACGATAAGCAACGAAATGGTTCTGCATTCATCCCAAGATTTAGGAATTATCACTTCCTCGAGGCAATGACATAAAGTGTCGTTTGGTAGGCTTTAAATTTTAAGAAAAGCTTAAAAACACAATTTGGAAGCCAAAAAAAAAAATTACTTCAATTTTAAAGTGGTTTTTGTGTGGGAAAAGAAAGCTGCCTCCAAAATTATGATAAACACTGTTTTTTTTTTCAATCAACTAGGTTTTTTTTTTAGTTGGCAGGGGAAGTGAATTTTCCAGTGGAAAAATTATGAGAAATGATCCAAAGGGGGGCGAAAAAAAACAACGCATCCTCATCTTGTGGTTGGAAATAGCTGCTCGTTGTCCTCCTCTCCTCCCTCACATGCTTCGCACATCTATGTATATGCATCCATTTTTTATTATATCAAGAGAACTTGACTTAAAAATAAGCTGTGGAAAAAGACTCTTTTTTCGTTGCATGCAAATCAAAATTTGTGATATCTATTATTCACTATTATTGTCGTTAGTACTTGTCTCTTTTTACTGCTCTTCTTTTATTCGGAGGCTTGAATGAAATTTCACATCTGAAAACATGTTCTTTAATTCTCTTTTTCGTTTTGTTATACACTTATATATACGTACCAAATGGCCCATGCACAAAAGTAAGGATTTAAAAAACCTAATAATGCTCATTATTCATTCACATGATGAAAGCACCCTAAGCTTAATAAGGAAGAGATTAATTTATGCATAGGGACATTGATATGAACATGAAAGGGGCAAATGCGGAAGCACAATCACATGCCATGCTTAAACCATCAGTAACAGGAGCATGGCCCCCTTTCATTGCCCTCCATACATGCACAGACGCCGTTGGTATGAATATTTTGTCACGTTTGTTACTAATTATCAGCGAATCTCTCCCTTTCTGTGGTGTCCAATTAAGGGCTGAAATGTTGGAGACCTCTTTATCAATATGAACTACCAAACAAAAACCACTGAATTATGCTTTTCCACCTCCCACTTGCTCTTCTTTCGTCTCCTTTCTCAGATGCCAATTCACTCTTGCAAAGTCACGGCCTTTCGACAACGAAATTGGAGCACGTGTTGCCAATCCAATCCCAACATGTCAGGATTTGATTCATCCATCTCGGATATGCCTTGTCTCTGTGTCTTCAAAAGGTTAGATTTTCTTACTGTTCTTTCCCCAAGCTCCCCCTCTCCCACCTGCACATGATATGTTCGATGTTATTTCTCAGTGGAGATTTGTTCATGCAGTACTATAGAAGATTCCTTGACTGTTGTGACCCATGTGTAATTCTGCAAACCGTTGGACTTGAGATCACTGACATATCAATCGTTACCGTATGCTTGGCATGTGAAGGAATTGGAGGGGAGGGAGTGGCAAAATTTTAATGAGTTCAATTTCAGAAATTGGAGAAGTGGGAAAATAAAATTTTGATAAATAGAAGATACAAAATACTCTTCCCACAAAATAGGTCTTATATTTAAGTCCGGAGAAGTAAAAGAATAAGAAAAACTAATTAAAAACTATTTTTAATCCTATTTTTTGTTTTTTAAATTGAACGCATTGAAATTTTTTCTTCTTTTCATTCGCTTATACCAAACAGAACGCTAAGCTCCTCTGCCTTATGAGTTATGTCTTTTTTCAAAGATTCACGTCACAATCTAAGAGCCGGTTTGATATGATAAAAATATGTTTGAAGGAAAAGAGAAATGGCATCTTTTGTACAAGTGGCTTATTACGTGAAATTTGAGTGATTGTCAATTCAATCATCCCATATAGCACTCTGGTCTTTAATTTATTGTTAGTCACTTGTAAGAGTTTTTCACATATTAAGAAAAGCATTGAATGGATAAAATCTTTCATTTTTACCCTTGTTAAAGAGATATGGAGCCAAAACATTGTTAGAGTTAATTAATTGTTTATTATAATCAATAGGGACAATGTACCCCAAAAAAAAAAACAATAGGGACAAAATTGAAAAAGAAGCATTAAATAGAATTCAAGTAACTTATATTTAAGATCAAAATGCTCCCTAGAAATGACTAACAATAAAAATCAGAGTGATGCAAAATTTACTTAGCACAGACCAAAGAGGAGAAATTTTATGTGTTATGTACAAAGTTATCATTTTTTTAGTTTCAGCCTCCACCGAATGCCATGCTATTGTAACCCTTACCTACTTCTATTTAATGTCCTTCGTCTAACTTACATGGTATGATTGTACATTGAAATTTAGAACAAGACGCACGTATAAATATAAAGACAGAATAAAAATTCGAATTAAAACAAGTAAATAGGTAGGGAGAAAGTAATTCAGATTTTCCACATATCATTTTGGGTTTTTTTTTTTAATAATGAATGTACAGACTACAGATACTTATTCTTAAAAAGACGTCATTCCTTAGATAAGGTGAAAGAAACTGAGGGTGACTGAGGAACAACCCCTCCCCCGCAGCTCCTTGACGCTAGTTTGATGGTGAAAAAAATCTTTTATTATGAACACTTGTTCCAAGTAATACACGTGCTTTTCCGCAATTTGCAGCAGCTGGTGTTTTTTTTAATGGAAAAAGCTGATGTTTTTCTTGGCCATACTTGGCTCTATAGTAGGCTCAACCATTTGCGTTGGTTCGTTGTTTTTTTTTTTTTTGGTCCCACTATCAGAGGCATATAGAGATGGTGACTTTTATTTTTCAATTCTTTCAGCTACTTCATCAAAAGTTTAATCTTCTGAGAGTTCAGATTATATTCTTTCTAAAATAGACCAATAAAATATAGAATATCCCACCGGCACTGAGGGGCGCTCTGTTGCTGTGAATTGGTATTGAAACCAACAAGCTTAGGATTGACGAATTTGTCTCCATATCTGTCAAATACGCGGTCGGAACTTGTGATTTCATATACGAGCAGGTGAAAGCACTGTTTAGGTATTACTTTTTGTTTTTCACTTCAACGAATTATGTGAAGTACTCTCCGGTCCTTAATATAAAACATATTTAACTAATTTAATTAGATT